GTTACCCCAGTATTAATGCAATGGCAGACACTGTTACCCCAGTATTAATGGAATGGCAGACACTGTTACCCCAGTATTAATGCAATGGCAGACACTGTTACCCCAGTATTAATGGAATGGCAGACACTGTTACCCCAGTATTAATGGAATGGCAGACACTGTTACCCCAGTATTAATGGAATGGCAGACACTGTTACCCCAGTATTAATGGAATGGCAGACACTGTTACCCCAGTATTAATGGAATGGCAGACACTGTTACCCCAGTATTAATGGAATGGCAGACACTGTTACCCCAGTATTAATGGAATGGCAGACACTGTTACCCCAGTATTAATGGAATGGCAGACACTGTTACCCCAGTATTAATGGAATGGCAGACACTGTTACCCCAGTATTAATGGAATGGCAGACACTGTTACCCCAGTATTAATGTAATGGCAGACACTGTTACCCCAGTATTAATGGAATGGCAGACACTGTTACCCCAGTATTAATGTAATGGCAGACACTGTTACCCCAGTATTAATGGAATAACAGACACTGTTACCCCAGTATTAATGTAATGGCAGACACTGTTACCCCAGTATTAATGTAATGACAGATGTAATACCCCAGTATTAATGTAATGGCAGACACTGTTACCCCAGTATTAATGTAATGACAGATGTAATACCCCAGTATTAATGTAATGACATTAATGGAATGGCAGTGTCCCAGTATTAATGTAATGGCAGACACTGTTACCCCAGTATTAATGCAATGACAGACACTGTTACCCCAGTATTAATGTACAGACACTGTTACCCCAGTATTAATGTAATGGCAGACACTGTTACCCCAGTATTAATGTACAGACACTGTTACCCCAGTATTAATGTAATGGCAGACACTGTTACCCCAGTATTAATGGAATGGCAGACACTGTTACCCCAGTATTAATGGAATGGCAGACACTGTTACCCCAGTATTAATGGAATGGCAGACACTGTTACCCCAGTATTAATGGAATGGCAGACACTGTTACCCCAGTATTAATGGAATACAGACACTGTTACCCCAGTATTAATGGAATGGCAGACACTGTTACCCCAGTATTAATGGAATGGCAGACACTGTTACCCCAGTATTAATGGAATGGCAGACACTGTTACCCCAGTATTAATGGAATGGCAGACACTGTTACCCCAGTATTAATGCAATGGCAGACACTGTTACCCCAGTATTAATGGAATGGCAGACACTGTTACCCCAGTATTAATGGAATGGCAGACACTGTTACCCCAGTATTAATGGAATGGCAGACACTGTTACCCCAGTATTAATGGAATGGCAGACACTGTTACACTGTTACCCCAGTATTAATGGCAGACACTGTTACCCCAGTATTAATGTAATGGCAGACACTGTTACCCCAGTATTAATGTAATGGCAGACACTGTTACCCCAGTATTAATGCAATGGCAGACACTGTTACCCCAGTATTAATGGAATGGCAGACACTGTTACCCCAGTATTAATGGAATGGCAGACACTGTTACCCCAGTATTAATGGAATGACAGACACTGTTACCCCAGTATTAATGGAATGGCAGACACTGTTACCCCAGTATTAATGGCAGACACTGTTACCCCAGTATTAATGGCAGACACTGTTACCCCGGTATTAATGGAATGGCAGACACTGTTACCCCAGTATTAATGCAATGACAGACACTGTTACCCCAGTATTAATGGAATGGCAGACACTGTTACCCCAGTATTAATGGCAGACACTGTTACCCCAGTATTAATGGCAGACACTGTTACCCCAGTATTAATGTAATGGCAGACACTGTTACCCCAGTATTAATGTAATGGCAGACACTGTTACCCCGGTATTAATGGAATGGCAGACACTGTTACCCCAGTATTAATGGAATGGCAGACAGTGTTACCCCAGTATTAATGGAATGGCAGACAGTGTTACCCCAGTATTAATGTAATGGCAGACAGTGTTACCCCAGTATTAATGAATGGCAGACACTGTTACCCCAGTATTAATGAATGGCAGACACTGTTACCCCAGTATTAATGAATGGCAGACACTGTTACCCCAGTATTAATGGAATGGCAGACACTGTTACCCCAGTATTAATGGAATGGCAGACACTGTTACCCCAGTATTAATGGAATGGCAGACACTGTTACCCCAGTATTAATGGAATGGCAGACACTGTTACCCCAGTATTAATGGAATGGCAGACACTGTTACCCCAGTATTAATGGAATGGCAGACACTGTTACCCCAGTATTAATGGAATGGCAGACACTGTTACCCCAGTATTAATAGAATGGCAGACACTGTTACCCCAGTATTAATGTAATGACAGACACTGTTACCCCAGTATTAATGTAATGGACAGACACTGTTACCCCAGTATTAATGGAATGGCAGACACTGTTACCCCAGTATTAATGGAATGGCAGACACTGTTACCCCAGTATTAATGTAATGGCAGACACTGTTACCCCAGTATTAATGTAATGGCAGACACTGTTACCCCAGTATTAATGTAATGGCAGACACTGTTACCCCAGTATTAATGTAATGGCAGACACTGTTACCCCAGTATTAATGGAATGGCAGACACTGTATTGATGACCTGAAGGTCCCCTCGCTGACAGACACCCAGCTCACCTCCTTGTGGCAGTCGGCAGTGCCTCCCACCGAGGACTCTCCTCTCCCTCTCTCCCTCTCTCCCTCTCTCCCTCACTCACTCCCTCGCTCGCTCGCTCTCCCTCCTCTCCCTCGGCCTGCACTCACCGAGCAGGAATGTCCTGGAAGCAGGCGCAGAATCCGCCAGCCAATCGCACGGCTTCCTGAGAACTCGAAACCAATCAACGGCACGCGTGCTGAACCGCCAGCCAATCGCTGCCCCTGTTTGTGAAACATAGCCAATCAGCGTCCTTGTACTAAGAAACAACCAATCAAAAGCCGGATCGTTAAAAAAAACAGCCTGAGGCAAGTTCCTTAAAAATAGAACAGACTCACCAACCAATCAGCGCCTGGACAGCTGGCGCGTCATGTGGCTTGACGTCACGCACGAGGGGCGAGGCTGAAGACGCTTAACCTGTTCTGTGCCAGAAGGAATTAGGGGAGGGACTATATGCTGCCATTGCAAGGATAATGTTAGCAGCAAGCTGTGGGGGCCAGCTAGCCTTCAGCTGTTACATCAGAGATTATACTTCCTGGTAGCCATACCAATCCATACCAGCAATCACACTGTGATAGGCTGAAAGCAGTCAGCTGACATTAGCAGTCAATCACAGCCACCCATTGCTGCTCAGCCTAATACAAATAGCACAGAGGGGGGTGGGCTGCTGGGGACTGGCATTTACTATGAAAACATAAAAACAGTTTAATGCAGAATGGAAGGACAGTGGGAAGAATCTACAGACACTATAACCACTTAAATTAAATAGTTACAGTGTCCCTTTAAAGAGACACTCCACGCACCAAAACAACTTCAAGTCTTCAGTAACTACTATTCAACCAACCTACTTTTCTACCCCTATCTTGTGTGGCACTATAACCCACTCCCTCTAGAATGTAAGCTCATTGAGCAAGGCCCTCACCCCATCTGATTCTGTGCTTCCAACTGTGGTTATAATTACATGTTTTTAGTCCACCCGTTGTACAGCGCTGAGGAATTTGTTGGAGCTATATAAATAATAATAATCTAAATGAGTTAAACCGTTCTTGTGTGTCTCTTCACTTATATTGATTGACAGTCCCCTCACTGACAGCTCTTTCCCTCTCCTCTTATATCGATTGACAGTCCCCTCACTGACAGACCCTTCCCTCTCCTCCTATTGATTGACAGTCCCCTCACTGACAGACCCTTCCCTCTCCTCCTATTGATTGACAGTCCCCTCACTGACAGCTCCTTCCCTAACATCTTATATTGATTGACAACCCCCTCACTGACAGACCCTTCTCTCTCCTCTTATGGATTGACAGCCCCCTCACTGACAGCTCCTTCCCTCACATTTTATATTGATTGACAGCCCCCTCACTGACAGCTCATTGCCTCTCCTCTTATATTGATTGGCATCCCCTTCACTGACAGCTCATTGCCTCTCCTCTTATATTGATTGACAGCCCCCTCACTGACAGCTCATTGCCTCTCCTCTTATATTGATTGACAGCCCCTTGACAGCTTATTGCCTCTCCTCTTATATTGATTGACAGCCCCCTCACTGACAGCTCATTGCCTCGCCTCTTATATTGATTGACAGCCCCCTCACTGACAGCTCATTGCCTCTCCTCATATTGATTGACAGCCCCCTGACAGCTCATTGCCTCTCCTCATATTGATTGACAGTCCCCTCACTGACAGCTCATTGCCTCTCCTCTTATATTGATTGACAGCCCCCTGACAGCTTATTTCCTCTCCTCTTATATTGATTGACAGCCCCCTGACAGCTCATTGCCTCTCCTCTTATATTGATTGACAGCCCCTTGACAGCTCATTGCCTCTCCTCTTATATTGATTGACAGCCCCCTGACAGCTCATTGCCTCTCCTCTTATATTGATTGACAGCCCCCTGACAGCTCATTGCCTCTCCTCTTATATTGATTGACAGCCCCCTGATAGCTCATTGCCTCTCCTCTTACATTGATTGACAGCCCCCTGATAGCTCATTGCCTCTCCTCTTATATTGATTGACAGCCCCCTGACAGCTCATTGCCTCTCCTCTAATATTGATTGACAGCTCATTGTCTCTCCTCTGATTGATTGACAGCTCTCTCAGTGAAGGACAGCTCTTCCTGATTGACAGTTATGCTGTGCCAGCTCTAATACAGACCATGTTCCTGTTTCCATGGATTACCAGCTGTCACTGCCATTTTACCCACTCTCTCCTAGTTGACAGGTTTCTGGCAGGGAGAGGGTGAAGTGGGCGTGGCTCTGCCCTGCCTTGGGCGGCGGGGGCGGGGCTGCTTGGGTTTGACTGACAGGCGGGGGTGTGGTCTGGCTGCTTCCGGCTGCTTCCTGTGGACAGTGAGACACCGGGCTCCGGAACATGGCGGCTACCGGGGTGCTGCCCTTCATCAGGGGGGTGGACCTGAGCGGCAACGACTTCAAGGTTAGGGGGTTCAGTGGCAAAGGGGGGGGAGAGGGGCTTGGCAGCAGAGCTCACACTTCATATACACCATGTTATGGATGGCCCCGCCTCTCTGTCAGCATGATGGGAGTTGTAGTACACAGCAGGTCAGCAGACATGGCTGAGCAGGATGGGAGTTACAGTCCGCAGGAGTGCCAGCTATCTGCTGCTGTGTATATGGGTGCTGGCTGCCCCCCTCCCTCCCTGTGTGTGTCCATGGCTGTGTATATGGGTGCTGCCCCCCTCCCTCCCTGTGTGTGTCCATGGCTGTGCCCCCCTCCCTGTGTGTGTCCATGGCTGTGTATATGGGTGCTGGCTGCCCCCCTCCCTCCCTGTGTGTGTCCATGGCTGTGTATATGGGTGCTGGCTGCTGCCTCCCTCCCTCCCTGTGTGTGTCCATGGCTGTGTATATGGGTGCTGGCTGCTGCCTCCCTCCCTCCCTGTGTGTGTCCATGGCTGTGTATATGGGTGCTGGCTGCTGCCTCCCTCCCTGTGTGTGTGTCATGGTTATATATAGCCTGCTGTGCCATGGTGAACCCAGGGGGTGGCAGCTGCTTGATTGTGTCATACAGGCCAGGACTCAGACAATGTTTATAGGTTGCTCCCTAGATAACTTAATAATAATAATAATATTATTATTATTATTATTAGTACACAGTTATTAGTAGGCTTCCCAAGGTGGCCTAATACATCATGTCTTTCTGGGTATATATCCAAACTTCATGCTGATGGGTATTACATGTAAAGTGCTGCCCTGCAGAATGCAGTATTCATATAACATCCTCTTCACTGTCAACAACTAGGAGACCATGTCAGAGAATCAAATCTCCCTTACAGGCTGAATTCTGGTTTATTTATTCACTAAAACACTTTATTATAGACTTGGTAATTGCAAATATTATGACACAATAAGTGTTTGGGAGAAATGGGGGGGGTGGAGAGATCAAAATCAGGTATTCTTCCAGCCCTATTATTAGGACCTTTCTACTTTTCTTTACTTCTCCGTTATTAGAAGCTATGTAGAAACATGTTCTGTAGCGCTGTAAAATGTGTCATAAGTAAACAGACTAAACTACAGCCTTTTCACAAAGTTAAAATCACGTCTCACCCCATTTAGCATAAGAAGGCTAAAATAGCATTCTGTGGACAGCTATTGAGGTGCCTGAATTGTTGGCTTATTAACTGGGCAAATCCCATTAGATCATAAGTCTGTCACGAAAGGGTTAAATAACTGACCAATGACCCAATAGTTCTGTAAATGATACTTCTACTCTATGTAATACAATGGGATATTGATAACAGCTTTGAGAAGCTTGGATCTTGTCTATAATTTGGGTAGTGCCTGTCCCACCCTTTGAGTGACTCATGTCTTTAACTCTATATTTAAATGTCATCATGCAGAGCCCTATTGATTCAAACAGCCTAGTTTAGTGATGGCTTGTCTCTGGTGCTCCAGTTGTTTTGGATTAGGCTTTGCAGCCAACCAAATGGTTGCCTGAGCTTTAGGAGAACAGACCCAGTGCTAGCGCTATCACAGGGTAGAGTGGATCTAGACAAAAGTGTCTGTCTGATCCATGTTTTCTGCAAATTATGGCTAATTGGCATTAAAAAAATAAATTAAATAATAATTTAAGCAAAAATATATATTTCTTTTTTTCTCATTTGCTATTTTGACCTAAAACTAATACACAACCATTTTTATTTTAGATTTTTCAATTTTAGTGCATAGATTCTTTTGCTTTTCTGTGCCACGTTTACCCTGTGGTTCTAGCTGCTGGTTGACATAATGCCCCAAATAGTACACATTCACTTGGCACACTGTGCAATAAACATTGTGATATATTACACCAATATTGTAAATAGGTTTAATGTAAAAAAGAAGCGGGTATTGGTAAATGTGCCATGTTATGATCTATTCCCTATTCATAGTATTCACGAATACTGCTTTCCCAGTATTGCAATAATAAACACCATATTAACTGTTTGAAACATCTCAGTATTCATTATCCCCGTGGCACACACAGGATCAATGTAACAAAATCCTGCAGGTCTCTTCCAATTTGGTATTAAATAAAATGTATTTGGCCAATTTGTATTATTATTTAGCACATTGCCATGCACATACCTTTTCTAACTGATGTGAAAGCTTTGCAGTTTAATACCCCTCTGACACCATCACAGTGTCTTTTTGCCAAGGGGTTTCTATACAATCCTATCCTGGCTCTAAATGGGAATTGTAGGCACTGTAACTGCTTGATGTCACTGTAGTGGTTATAGTGTCTGGGGTCTCCTGGCACCAACCTTCCATTTAGTGTTAAAGGGACATTATAACGTTAGCAATACAAATGATATATTTGTTGTGTAGAAAGATTACAAACTCTGTACATCTCTATTGAGATGTGTGCAGCATATGCTAAATTATTATTTTTGTTACTAAAACGAAGGGGTTTATTAACTAAATGGGATATTTCAAATTAATATGAGCAGTGGCAATTTTAGGTCAAACTAGTGGAATTTGAAAAACTTTGGAAAGTCTTCCATTCTTTTCTCTGAAATCTTTCTAATTTTTATTTTTATCTTTCTTTTTATAAACCAGCTTTTTCATGGTGTAATTCCTGTTTGGAATGCTTATATATATTTGTGGTTTCTTTCCACTTTGCTTGAATCATAATGCATGGTTTTGATGCATTCTTTTTCATTTTTGTTTCAGGTACATTTACAATCAATTAATATAAATGTTTGCTGCAATAAGTTGCACATTCTTACCCATGCATGTAGGAACTCTTTACTATTGTTGAGGATAGTTGAGTAATACTATTTAATAAGTGACACTATGGTGAGAAAATTCTATTCACTTGCCTCTTGCCTGAGTCCCACTGATCGCTGAGTCTCCTGTCGTACCAGGTTACTTCTGCCAAAGCCGGTTGTTGATCACGCCGGTTATTCATTGGCTGAGAGAATCCGCCAAGTGCTCTCAGTCAATTAATGAAACAAAATTAAAATTAGTCAGCAAGAAACTCTTGTTCCGGGCTGACTGATGATGCTGTCGATGGTGGAGTTAGACCTTCGGTAGTTCAAATATTTACTGAAATTCTGCACATACACATTACATGCACCATAATCACTTCAAAACACTGAACTAAAGTGTGAACTGACTTTTAGAATTTTTCCAGTTGACCTATCATTGTCTAAAGTTTGAATTCTCAACAATTTAGCCAAAATCTAGCAATTTAGATTTGTTTGCTACCAATCGAAGACCATTGATAGCCGGTGGGCATGAGCGGCGAGTGCTGCTCACACATGCAAGCTTCTCTCTTTTTAAACTAGAAATGAACTTTGAAATCTCACTTTGGTGAATAAACATGTCAGTGTCCTGCCTTGGTGTGCTAGATTGCAAGCTCTTTGAAATAGAAGTTATGTTGGGATCTGTCTGTTCCTTTTGCTGCAGCATATCTATAACCCATGTTTTATTCTGTCTTTTATTCCCAGGGAGGATATTTCCCAGAACATGTGCGGTCTATGAACAGTTTGCGATGGCTGAAACTAAACAGGACTGGTCTTTGCTACCTGCCGGAAGAGCTGTCGTCTTTGCAGAAATTGGTAAGGCAGAGCAACCTTGATGGCTATGAAGCATTCTAAATCACAGTAACTGATGTATCACAATGGGCACTGGCAGCAATAAAGATTGTTTATTCTCTACAGACACCCCCAAGATAATCCACTGTGATATAAAGCTCTCTAGATCCCGCCTGGTGAATTCAAACACCAAAGTCTAATTCCTACTGCAATCCTATCCTAACCCCATTTCTAACACAGATCTTCCTGAACTACATTTCCTGTGATGCAGTAGCTGTGGTTCCAAAATTGGCAGTCACTAATTCTCTTATTCTCTTTCACCAGTTCCTCCCCTGTTTTACAATGCTGAGATTGACTCTGAGAATACCGTATTTTTCCCTCATAGGTTCCCTATTGCTGCCTATTATGCTTATGGTTTATTTGACTGTGTTCCCTTTAAGTACTTTGTTTTAAAATAGCACTGAATCAGTTGAAGCGTCACTCTAAGGACCGTTCGTGCTCAGACTATTCATCTTACTGAATTTAGTTCTAGCTTCAGCACACAGCATTCTAATCCCAGATAAAAATAAATAACGGAAAAAAGAAATGGCATAAAGAAGACGATAGATGTATATTAAAGGATCCCTATAGGGCCAGGACACAAGCATGTATTCCTGACCCTATAGTGTTAAAACCACCATCCAGCCCTCATGCCTCCATAAATATAGTAAAAATCTTACTGTATTCAAGCTTGAAGCTGTAACTCTGCATGCTGTTAGACTCAGAAAAACAAGCAGTATGCTGACATCAGCAGAAGTGGTAGCCTGATCCAATCACAATGCTTCCCCATAGGATTGGCTGAGACTGACAAGGAGGCAGATCAGGGGCAGAGCCAGCATGATTCAAACACAGCCCTGGCCAATCAGCATCTCCTCATAGAGATGAATTGAATCAATGAATCTCTATGAGGAAAGTTCAGTGTCTGCAAGCAGAGGGAGGAGATACTGAATGTTTGGATGCATTTTAGGCAGCCATGACCCAGGAAGGATCTCTAACAGCTATCTGAGGAGTGGCCAGTGATGTTATCACTAGGCTGTAATGTAAACACTGCATTTTCTCTGAAAAGACAGTGTTTACAGCAAAAAGCCTGACGGTAATGATTCTACTCCCCAGAACAAATTCATTAAGCTGTAGTTGTTCTGGTGACTATAGTATCCCTTTAAAAACAATATGTCTGACGTCTGATCCTGTCTTCCCTTTCTGAACATCAAAACATAGAGTAAAATAAAGATAAACCAAGGTGGCAAACCTATCCATCTTTTACAAGAAGCATAAAGGCAGAGAAGCCTTGAGATTTTACCAGAAGGCACGGACAGATGATGCCATCTACTTCCCAAGTCATCCTGTCTGAGCGCACAAGGAAGTGGTTGGTGGTAGTGCCAGACCAAGTTCTTTACAGAAAATGTGTCTCTCTGACCTGAACCATTTTATTCGCCATCCCATTCCCCTATCAAGGATCGGGGGTTCCCCATCTGTACGTAATGGCTTGTGAGACGCTCTGATTTTGGTGGATCTTCGTTTGCTGCAAAATCCTTTTTTTTTTTTTTAGAAATATTTGTGCAGATTGTTTTCGGTGAGTATGATAATTCAAATCATTTTTGGACAACGCATTTTCCTTTAAAAATTTTATATTACAGCCACTATCGCAGACTTCAGTATGTGACTCTGAACAAAGATTAATTACATTCTTTAATTTCTGCACTGCTCTCGAAAGGTTCTTAGGGTAGCTCCAGGAATACTCCAAACCAGATGGTGCAGATGCCAAATATATTTATTTGCCCTACTTTTCAGAGTCTTGCTGTGGTGGCCTTGCCAGTCTGTTGTATCTCACCGTCCTTACATTTGGTTTTTATATTCTATTTTGTAGGAGCATCTCTCCGTGAGTCACAACAACTTGACAACTCTCCATGGAGAGCTTTCATCCCTTCCCTGCCTTAGGGTAAGTACTCTTACTCCACTTACTTCTACTGCTCCATGATACCATATGCTGTTGCTTGCAGATGTTTCCGTAGTAATGGGGTGTGTGGGGGGTTGTACTGCTGTTTAACGCAGCCATGCACTAGCAGTAGTGTTTACGGGGATGAATACACTGTAAATCATCAGATACAGAATTGTGCCTGTGCAAGTAGTGACATCATAACGATAGTGCTGTGATTACCTGCGCCCTTTCTTCCTGCGTGGGCCTCTGTAACATGCTCTCCATTTTTTCTCAGGCAATTGTTGCTCGAGCCAACAGCCTTAAAAACTCTGGAATTCCCGATGATATCTTCCAGTTGGATGATCTTTCTGTGCTGGTAAGTGACAATGTCATTCATACAAGAGCAGGGGGATCGAAGGTCTGCACAGACTGTGTTTTGCCTGTTTTTTCAAAAAATTTGTGACGTTCATTAAATTCTAGGAGATGTATATTATCACAGATGAGCTACTAGAAAATCTCTCTGGATTATTATGTTAAATCAAAATAGCTGAACTGGAAACGTAGGGGACTCCAATTCTACCACTTTCAATTCTGTGACTTCCAGACTGGTTACACCTTACTACACATACTCCTGTTGGGTTTATTTACTAAACCCCAAAATGTGGTCAATTGAAAGGTGATCTAAATGTTTTCTGAGTTAGTGACAGCTTGGCTGATTAGCCTAAATTTTGCTGATGTTAAGTGAATAAATATTTGTGTGTGTTGTATATTTGTATGCTTTTACTTTATTTATGTGTTTTAAGCGATTGTCTGTCTTATATTGGGACTGCCATTACAGTTTTCTTCACATAAATCAGTTTAGAAAAGTATTAGCAAACGATTAATGTTATTTTTACCTGGGCAAATTGTGGTAGGTGTAACTGGAATACTGGTGTGAAAATCTGTCACTGTTTCAGCATGGTGGTTGCCATCTTGTTATTGTATCCATGGCTGAGATTATCAATCTTTACTATTTTAGCTAATCCATTGCTTTCATATAGGCTATTCCACATGCACATCAAAATGCTGCGCCAATCAGCATCACCTCAGAGATGCATTGAATCAATCCATCTCTATGGGGTGCATTCAGTGTCTGCATGCAGAGTGTAGATACACTGAATGTAGGTACTGCAGCACTGCCACAGGAAGTACCTTTTAGTGGCCATCTGAATCACTGCCACTAGAGGTGTTACTAGGCAGCAATGTAAACACTGCATTTTCTCTGAAAATGCAGCATTACCTTTGAAATGCCTACAGGGGCAGGCTCTAGACACCACAACAACTACATTAAGCTGCAGCGGTTCTGGTGACTAGTGTCCATTTAAGCTGAATGTTATTTCCATATCTGTAGTACGCAATGTTTATCAAGTGGGTTTTGAATTGTTTGTTGTTCTTTTTCATAGTTTGACGTCTTTTACTGTTTGATTTTAAAGAAATAGCCAGTGGGCCCAGCTTTCCTTTGACGTTGGTTGACACCGAGATGAGCAATTGGAAATCTAGATCACTGAACATATTTTGAAATGATTTTAAGCCAGAAAAAATTAGTTTATTTCCTAAATCCTGCACTTGACAGAAACAGGACAAACACTGACTATATTATTAAAGAAGCAGTTTTTTAATTCATTTTAATTGTGTGTATTAGTTTACCTCCTTTTGATGTAACTGTTGTACACTGTTTCCCGCTCATTTCCTGCCTCCTTAACCATCTCTCCATCTCCTCCAAGATATAATCTAATTTTCTCTGCCATCTGAGAGGGATTTAATTGTCAGGAAGTGGACGATTAAGTAAAACTCTTAGATCCGCTATGTCACCCCTGCATTAACCTCCATAAATTCTCTAACTTTCCCAAAACAAGAAAATGACTGTTCGTAGATTAAACCCTGTGTTATTCTTAGTATTTGTACATTTTCACAATGCAGCTCAGACCTTGCACATTGATTTTACAGGACCTTAGTTACAATCAACTGACAGAGTGTCCACGAGAACTTGAAAATGGCAAGAACATGCTCGTGCTTAATCTCAGCCACAACAGGTGAGCGGTCAGGGATCAGAGGGAGGGAGTTACAGAACTTGGTAAAGCACAAGTTCCATTGGTGCTAACATTAACACAATCCAAAGTATAACACTGGCAACTAACTACGGAGCGGGTGGACAACACCAATAACCCTGGGTTATTTCTATTTCTTTAACCTATTTAGTGCCAGAGTCATGAGCAATGCACAAATCCTCCTCTGGCACTCAGGGGGATGATGTTGAGTGTATGCCTTCATTGTGGTGTTCACTAAGCCTTTAGAAAGTTCATTGAATTTGTGTTTGCCGTTTGTATGCATTATGTTCATTTTTAGAGATCAAGGTATCTTTGTTAGGCCTCAAACTGGTGTTTATTTACTAAACGGTGAAAGGTGGTGAATTGAAAATTTAGGCAAAACATAGCTGCATCCCCAATGTGATGGATAAAGCACGATTCTGAAGCAATTTTGTTCACTGTGCACCAGCAATAAGTAACAATGTCACTTGACTTCCTATATTTACCAATAATTAATCAATAAACTATGTGCCAGGATTTCTTCGTGATAAGGAAATGTGTTTGCTTTTTTTGTGTGTTTTTTGTTCTTCCATTTAGCTGGGTAGGCAATAATTTGTAGGATAATACTACTATCTTCCAGAATGTAGTTACTTAGGTATTATATGTGAAACCCAATCCAAGCTGACAAACACATCAAGATAAAAGAAGGGGTGGGGGAAGGTTGGGAGTGTTGGCTGGGGTTTTTAAACCGGTATATCTTGCATCAGTTATAAAAGTGCACAGATCCTCTAATTTATTCAGAGCTTCCACAGTATATGACGTGCATACACCAAAGGTTTATCCATTGATCTTCATTTTCAAATGGTTATTGTGGAAGGAATGACTTGTAACTAGCTAAGGAAATCCTGGTCACAATATCAGTATGGAGAAGTTTATAACTTCTGTGGTAGTTTTTTCTCTTATTGAGTTTGGATAGGAGGAATTCCTAAGACTCAAGACTTTTCCTTACCACTTGGGATTAGAAAGTCTTAGCCTTGAGCCATTGCCACCATGAATGGGGTAAAAAGGTTCCCCGATGGCCACAAAGACACAGCGTAAGTAGGTCCTTGTTTTCCCCATATGAAAGGTTAAAACGGCAGTGTGCCATCAGCCGTTCGTCTTAAAGCATTGCTCTTGGACTTTAAATAAAATGAAAACTTTAGATTGCTTCCCATATTTCATCCTATTCATCACTTTCGATAGAGGTCACCCGTGTCTTGTCTCTCTTAGAAATCTCAGGTGAGAAAACTAGTAAGCTAGGAGTATGGGATAAAACCTCTGTTCTGTTTGCAGCATGTCTGCTTTATCCATCTGTGACATTGCTGTTTGTATATTTAGATATTTAATAAATGTCATTGTGGGGTTTGTTTTTGCTTTTTTGTTTCTCAGCATCGACAACATCCCAAATCAGCTGTTCATTAACCTGACAGACCTGCTGTATCTGGATCTGAGTGACAACAAGCTGGACAGTTTGCCTCCTCAGATGAGAAGGCTGGTGCACCTTCAGACCCTCATCTTAAATAACAACCCCCTTATGCATGCGCAGCTCAGGTAACCTTGTCTTTCCTCCTCACACCATGAACACCTGTAACGCTGGTCCGAAATGGTGGTTGGAGTTATGTTATTTAACTTCTTCCTATCTTTCAAACAGGCAACTTCCTGCAATGGTAGCACTACAAACCCTACATCTGAGGAATACACAACGCACACAGAGCAATCTACCCACATCTTTGGAAGGCCTGACTAATCTATCAGGTAACCAGAGCAGTTAGTCCATGCTATGCTAAGGGTTTGTAAAAGCAAATTTGTCACATTTGTCTTTAAAGTTATTTTAATTGGGAATGCTTGGAGGTGTCAAGGCTGGGCCGCATCAACTCTCTTAAGATGATGGTTCTGCCACACATTCTCTACCTCTTTCATACACTGCCCATACTGTTGCCTAATGAACTGTTAACTCTTCCAGTCCACAATTAACGCGCACGTATAGAAGCGGAAGCCCCCTCAAGTAGCCTATCGCAATCTGGGACTTCCAATTGCCATGGGCGGTTTGGGCCTGCTGGATATTAAGGCATATTACAGAGCTTCAGTCCTAGCGCAAGGGTTCCAAATTCTTCGGCTGTCCCAGCACCCGCTCTGGCTATCCCTAGAAAAGGCATGCCTAGACCCACACAACATTGCGCACTCTTTGTGGGTGAGCACGATTCCCCAATCTCCTGCAGAGCTCACACTGCAGTACTCAAGGTTTTTATTACATGCCTGGAAATGTTGGGGTCCACTTATTGTAGACACCATACTACTCTTTCGAGCAGCGCCCTTGGGTATACCGACAGCCTTCTCCCCTGATCTCCAGGTAGGGCGGTGGAGAGCCAGGGGTATACATCATATCCGTGATCTGCTGGCGGGAGGGGAGATCATGCAATTCCCTGACCTTCAGGTGGATTTCTCACTACCGGCAAGAGATTTGTACTTATACCGGAGGGTAAAAAATATATTAAAAATGAATATACTGGGCAAGTCAGGCCACCCCACAGAGACCCTACTGTTGCCGAACCAAATACTGACACCCAAACCAATTAAGCCTCTATCCCTGTGCTATAATGCCCTTATCAAAGGCATATCCACAGAGAAACTGACTTATATGACTCAATGGGAAAGGGAAATGAGGCAATAGATTCCCTTGACAACATGGCAGGAAGCCATGGCAACCATGAAGCAGGCATCGAGTAGTCTCTGGCTCTGGGAAGCTTACTGTAAAATAACAATGAGAGAGTACCTAGTGCTGCACAGACTAGCACATCTGGGCTATGCTGGAGGTGCAAAGCGGAGGCGGGTACCATGCTTCATATATTCTGGGAATGCCAGTGCTGGAGGCAAATTCAGTCCCTCATCTCACACACAACCTGCTACCATCTCTCCATACCATCGGAACACTACCTACTTCATATAATTCCCGACATAACTGAGCATCCTCACCGCAAGGTGATCTTAAACATTCTCACAATGGCAAAAGTCGCTCTGGCTAGCAACTGTAAGAGCAAACAAACTCTCTCCGAGGAGACCATTAGAACCAAACTAGACACAATTCGCTCCTATGAGCGGATGGCATGCAGACTAAATAGATGTACGGGAAACTATAACCGGGACTGGAACAGCTGGCCGTCCATGTTTTGACCAAGATTACAAATTTGGAATATGGATAGTCGGGGAGCTGACTGACTGAGGGTTAAACGAGTAACAAATGGTATTAGGTTCAAGGCTTCTACAATTTCTACATACCGGCACTATGGCTGCTGCTATATACTCTGTCTCAAGCTGCCCGTGTATATAATATGTTTAGGCGCATACTAATGCCCTTGGAAACAATGGCTGTGGTAATGGTGAAGCCGCGCGGTAACCAGGGTTCCCTTCCCCCACCCCTTTCCTTTCTGTATCTCCTCCCCATTATTTAGTTAGACGGAAAGGTACACTGCAACAAGCTATCGCTAAACGTTCATCAAGTCTAAATACTTTGTAAAAATACCTATGGACTATACGCACAGAGTGCAACGTTACACATTCTAGATGGCAAGCCAACATGGATGAGCTTACTCACATTGTATAACCGCTGCACTGACAATGGTAATGTGATATTCCTGTTAAATATTGCTATTCCTCTTCATATATTCTTACCTATTTCTGGTTCCCAAAGGTGTGATAAATGTGAAAAGTACAAATTGAGATGTACATCAATACTTTTTCTGTATTAATAAAAATGATACATGAGAAAGTTATTTTAATAAAAAAAGTTTTTTAATTATACATGTGTATGTAATGCACATACAGAGCATTTAATAAAAATCTGCTTAAATCCTTGTCTCTGTCACCGGCAGTGACTGACTGCATTGCTTGGTGCTAACATCCAGGAACATAAATTATTTGAGACTGTAATATTGAGGTCACTTGTTTTTGACAACCTATACATTGTTAATGGTTATCTTTGCTTGCCTCCATATCTGCTTGTGTCACACTTTACATTGGTTTATAATGATCCTGCTTTTGGTGCTAGAAGGGGTAACGCTGAGCACTGGGAGTCTTGTCATGCTCTTTCACTTATTGCTACTAATTTGTTTCCTAGATGTGGATCTTTCCACGAATGACCTGTCACGGATTCCGGAGTGCCTCTATACACTCGCCAACCTAAAGCGCCTGAACCTCAGCAGCAACCAGATTACAGAGCTGTCTCTGTGCATCGACCAGTGGGCTCAACTGGAGACCCTCAATCTGTCCCGTAACCAGCTTACCTCTCTTCCTGTAGGTACCAGTCGCAGGAACCTTTCACTGGTCCCTCCCCGTTTTGCTGGAAAGCAAGTCCTGCCAACCATTAAAACAGGGGCAGGCAAGCTTTGGTGCTCTGAATGTTTTGGATTACATTTCCCATGATGCTTTGCCAGGATTATGGCTGTGAGAGCATTATGGGAAAAGTAGTCCACGTCTGGAGTGCCGAAGGTTGGCTGTCCCTGCATTGGTACATAAGTCTATAGTTTGTCAAACGTAGGAAGGTATTTTGTGTCCACGTGACTGTTTATTCCTTGATGTATTTAGCTCGCTATCCCATAAATTGTGTAGGGCACAAACTGGGAAAGATGGCATTACTAGCGAAGGGAATCAGCCCAATACATTGCTTACCTGTAGTGTTTGCAGTCAGAATTCAAGTTACCTGTGCTTGGTTCACAGGTCTTTGCCATTTTAGAATATGGTCTGGGTTCATTTATCATTCTATAAAATTCATGATGACTTTTAATTTATTTTTTCCTGCTGTTCTAATTCCTCGTTGGTGTCCAGTCCGCCATCTGCAAGTTGACCAAGTTGAAGAAACTGTATTTGAATTCCAATAAGCTGGATTTTGATGGCATTCCCTCGGGAATCGGCAAACTGTCCAGTCTGGAGGAGTTTATGGCTTCCAATAATAACCTGGAACTAATCCCTGAGAGTCTCTGCAGGTAAGTGTCAGCCTGGACAAGAGCATCTCCAGTAACCAATAGTGGTGCTGTTACTTGGTGCCAAAAAGCCAAACCTTTTCGAAATTCCCGCAATTATTGAGGTTCATTCTCTGTCTCTTCCTTTATCTATGTATCAGGTGCTCCAAATTGAAGAAACTGGTTCTAAACAAGAACCGATTAGTTACTCTGCCTGAAGCCATCCATTTCCTGACCGACTTAGAGGTTAGTAATCACTTACCTAGAAAATAGCCACTTCTAACATCTACTATGTGCTAGAACAGGAAAACGTGTTACTAAGAGTTCTGAGAACCCAGTGCATGCTGGGAAAGATTATGTTCTAAGCACAAGAGCTATGAGCTAGTAAAACAGTAATTAAAACTGTTTACAGTTTCTTCTAACCTTTTAATTTAAATACATTATTTACAGTTTTGTTTATATTCTGTAAAAACTTAGTTCTGCAACTCTATCATTAAATTGCCCAAAAATCTCCCTACAGAGAAAAGTATATGCTAGTGCAACATATCACTAGTATATTATTTTTAATGTATTATTATGGATGATTCTTTCATCCAGTGCTAATTAATGTACACAGCTTCCCTGAAAGTGCTGTGATTTCCTTTCAAATAGCTGTTTTAAACATGGGCAATTCTATCTCGACAGATCCTCGATGTGCGTGAAAATCCCAGTCTGGTGATGCCTCCTAAACCTGCTGACCGCACATCAGAATTCTACAACATCGATTTCTCCCTGCAGAACCAGCTACGCCTTGCTGGGGCATCCCCTGCCACTGTCGCTGCAGCAGCCGCCGCATCAGGTATAAACAGGAATCCTGCTGCCTTCTATAAATTAAAATGCCTCAGGATTTTATTGGTGAAACGGTGTTGCCTTGTATTGGGCCATGCTCAGTTTATCATGAGGGTTCTTCTCACGTGTAAACTCTTGCGGGATATAGACCCACATTTTAAATTTTTGTGCATTTGCAAGAGAAGAAAAATAATGCAGCTCCCTCTGCCAGGAGCTAAGGATTGAGGTGAAGTTCTGGAGGGAGAGTTTTAGGTTCCCCTCAGGAGCTTTCATGTAAGTGAACTTCACCTTAGGAGGTACAAAACATGTAATGACCCCACAGGATGTAATAGTGGTGTTGTCATCCAAATATTGTTAAGGACTGATCAGCAGAACATTAATATAGATTGTACTTTGAATGTCGCAGTATGAAGCCTGACATCTAACTATATTGGCTATTTCAGAGCTCTGAACAGACTGTGGTACTCCTTTAACTACACCCAGTAATATGTCCATGAGCAAGATACCCTCTGGCTACCTGCCCCTTGGTATATATCACAGTAGGCTCTATCAAGGTGTGGGCCTGACGTGAAATAATATCTTAGCGGTGTCCTGGCTCAGCGAGGTGCAGATCTCACCAGTTCTCTCTGATCACGCTTATGAGGGAGGAACTGATGGAAAGATGGCACTAGCAACAATGTAGTAACCTTTTATTGCTATGCTGATTTCCCGACTTATCAGGCAGCGCTACCAAGGATCCGTCCGCCAGGAAGATGAGACTACGAAGACGGAAGGACTCTGCACAAGATGATCAGGCTAAGCAAGTGCTGAAAGGAATGTCTGATGTAGCTGAGGAGAAAAATAAGAAGATACAGGTGAGAAGGTTAAAGGCGTCAGCCATGGATAAGAAATTCTTTATAAAATGGTATTGTAACATTAGTCAGTGGGTAATGCTTTAACTGCATTTATGACAATGTCCATTTAAATGCAGTGACAAATACTAAACTTGCTGTACGAAAGGAATCTTTAATAGCTTTTATCCCACTGAAACAATTATAGGCCTCACGGTGTTGAGACCATTTTTTCCCAACATGGTGCAAGATTTTATTGGTAAAGAAAACCTTTCAAATTATCCTGTTATCTCTGCAACATTTTAAAGGGACTCTCCAGTGCCAGGAAAACAAACGGTTTTCCTGGCACTGCAGGTCCCCTATACCTCCCACCCCCATCCTAGTTTGCTGAGGGGGTTAAAACCCCTTCAGTGACTTACCTGTATCCAGCGCCAATGTCCCTCGGCGCTGGTTCAGGCTTCGCCTACGGCAGGGGAGACCTATTGTGCATGTGCAGCCGGCGGCGGGGGAGACCTAATGCATATGCGCAGCAATGCCAAGCACGAGCATTAGACCTCCCCATAGGATAGCATTGAATAATGCTTTCAATGCTCTCCTATAGGGATTTCGGCGACGCTTGAGATCCTCCTTGCCTGAGGACTTAACCCTGCAAGGTAAATATTGCAGTTTATAAAAACTGCAGTATTTACAGTTGCAGGGTTAAGGGTAGTGGGAGTTGGCACCCAGACCACTCCAATGGGCAGAAGTGGTCTGGGTGCCTGGAGTGTCCCTTTAAGTAAAATGAAAACAAGTCACAAAGGAGAATATGGTTAAAACCCTAAAAATAAATATTTTAATATGTTTATACAAAGTAGACGGAGCTAGCAGTTGAAGCTTGCCAGGAAACCCATCTTGCCATGCCACTACCATATTGCACATAATTGAGAATAAACACGAGTTGCAATGGTATGGAATCATGCTGTCTAAGGACTTCCATCAGTTCATATAGGGCAAGAAGATGTGTTTGTTATCCGTACTCCTGGCAACCTCTAACATTTGTTGTTTTTGTTTTTTTCCCCTCCTATACCGAACAGGAGAACGGTGACATGAAATACACAGATTTAAAGGCAAGGAAGTGGGATCAGAGTCTGGAGAAGCCCCCCTTGGATTATTCAGAGTTCTTTACTGAGGATGTTGGTCAAATCCCCGGAGTCACCATCTGGCAGATTGAGAATTTCATTCCGATGTTGGTGGATGAGGCCTTGCATGGGAAGTTTTATGAGGCAGATTGCTACATAGTGCTAAAGGTGAGCAGTGTGCAGGATTTGTGATATATTCTACCAGTATTGGTTAAAGAGAATCAATATTTAAGAAAACACCTGCTTGTTATGTTTAAGAAGCCCTTTGCATTTTTAGAAACCAATCTCTTCAAGTTATTCGGAAGTGGTATAATGTATAAGTATGTGTATGATCATGAAATATGACCTAATAAACCATGTATATTAGATCAAGAAACCTATGTAAAAAGCAGAGTGAATTTACGGTAAATCCTAATTGCTACTTTTTATTGTTTTTAGAAATGAGTCATTGTATATAAAATGCCAGTGTACTGGATTTTTTTTAATTAAATTAAAATATTCCCCTTCTTTTTCTACCATATTTTAGACCTTGTTGGATGATAATGGTGCTCTTAGATGGGAGATATATTATTGGATCGGACAGGAAGCTACACTAGATAAAAAGGCCTGTTCCGCCATCCATGCTGTCAATCTGCGGAACTATTTGGGTGCAGAAAGCCGCAGCATTCGGGAGGAGATGGGAGACGAGAGTGAGGAGTTCAGTCAGGTGAGTTACAAAGGATGTGGAGAGATCAGGCTTTTTGTTTCATGGCCTCATAGATGCTGTCAACAGTTTGCCTCATCAGAACTGCTTTTCCTTTTTTTTTTTTTTAGAGCAGATTGAATTTTACTGCTAACCTGCCTGAATTCATCATGTACCTTCCCTTCTTAGAGCGACACTTCAAGCATCATAACCATTAAAACTTACTGTATTTGTTAAGGTCCTAAGAACCTTTTGGGCACGGTTCCTCTGGTTTTGTCAAACTGATTTTGCGTGAATCGGCAAAACCATTGCTACTGCATTTGAGATAGTGAGGAATTACAATACTACACTATTGATACCAATACAGCCCCGCACTCACAGCATGACTGCTAACCACGTACACTGTAGTGGTTATGGTGTTTACAGTGTATGTATCTAGTTCAGATATATGGCTGCTTTGTCTACATACGTAACCAAGTGATGGTTAACCTCCTTACCAAAAAAAACGATAAATGCTTTTCATAACAGGTTTTTGACAACGAGATCTCCTACATAGAAGGAGGGTCAGCCAGTGGATTTTACACCGTGGAGGACAATCAGTATATCACCAGGTGAGAAGCAGAGACTGATGGTCAGGTGAACTAAATATTACTCTGTTAAACTTGTGTAGTGTGGTGCCAACTAAGTGCTGTTACCCAGTGTACCATTATGCTAAAGAAATTATTTGTTGTAGTGTTAAATAGAAACGTTCTTTACAGTTTTTTAAAAAAAAATTAACTTATTATTTTTATATTATCCAATTTCTCTCTTTTTTTTCTTTTTTTTTTATACAGGCTTTACAGAATTTATGGAAAGAAAAATATCCGTCTAGAACCAGTTCCCCTTAAATCCTCCTCCCTGGATCCGCGGTGTGTATTTTCTTAATTTAATACCCAATTTGCTTTATACCAGAGGTGGCATAAAGGTAGATCAAAGCTGTTGCAAACATATGGGAACTGTAGAGCCCATGATTCTTTGTCAACCTGAAGGCTGGGAAAGCATCATGGGAGTTGTAGTTTTACATGAGCATGTGATCTTCCTTTTAGCTGCCACGGATAATTCCAGTCCATTTCAGTGCCCTCAGGAGTCTTATTATCTGTTTTATTGCAGATATGTCTATCTTCTGGATAACGGTTTGGACATTTCCATCTGGAGAGGAGCTCAGGCCACCCTCAGTAACACTACCAAGGCCAGGTGAGGATCATATGGATCAATCTAAGTGATCCAGAGTTCTGTTCGATTGCATATATAGAATGCAAAATTTACACAGTAAATGATTAAGGAATAAATGACCAGCCAGGTCTGCCTGTTCTTAATCTAGGATACCGAACTTCTACTCTGCTCAGAAAAGCACGGGGTCTATCGCAGGCATTCTGACTCTTTCCCACTACCTTAGTAGTACTACCCTGCTAGAAGGCCTGTTTGTACATCTACAACATTGTAAACCTCTTTTATTCTTTTCATTATGCTGTGCATCTATACACCATTTGCACAGTATCATGGGATACCAGTACATTTACATTGCATGCCATACTCTGCCTTGTAAGTGAAAAAAACAATGACATTGTAGCAGGGATAGCACAACCCTGATCTTTTTCAAACTTTCTCTCTCAAATGGCTAGTGGAGAGTGAAAATTGTGAGCTCTTTGCTTAAGCAAAGTACCGGAGGTGGACTTTCCTCTATTTTGCTGTATTCAAGGATTTGCACGGTGTATACATGACTTTATGCAAGGTTTTTCCACTGAGTATATGCGGCTGTGTGTGAATGCGTCTTGTGGCTTAGCTTTATATGAGTGTATTTATTTTGCCCTCTTACAGGCTGTTCGCTGAGAAGATCAACAAGAATGAGAGAAAAGGCAAAGCAGAAATTAATATGCTGCCACAGGATCAGGAGACCCCTGAATTCTGGGAGGTCCTGGGAGGACAGCCAGAGGAGATTAAACCCAATGTTCCTGATGATTTCCAGGCACCCCGCCCCAAACTTTACAAGGTACACCTCCCAGCGATTGTCAAGTCACAGCCATGACAATCTAGTGCAGGCATAGGCAACCTTCGGCACTGCAGATATTTTGGACTACACCTCCCGTGATGCTTTGCCAGCATTATGTGTGTAAGAGCATTATGGGGGATGTAGTGCACAACATCTGCGGTGCCAAAGGTGGCCTATTCCTGATCTAGTGGTACAGAATGACCGATCTACAGGATATGGCATGAGAAGGACTGGACAGACTGACACGGCTATTCACTAAAGTGAGAAATGTCAGGAAAGTCCAAGTGCATTTCAAATTTGAATTCCTGACAATTCTCACTTTAATGCATAAACCTGTAAGTGGCCATCTAACAGGCTGGACAAAGAAATGTACTGTCCAGCTAACAGGATTAAGTGAGATACATACCGACCATCTAACAGATGATTGCTGAATCTTCAGGTCTATCCTAACTGGGTGGACTGTGAGATCTATCTCTAACTGGGTGGACTGTGAGATCTAGAGACCATCTAACGGGGTGGACTGTGAGATCTAGAGACCATCTAACGGGGTGGACTGTGAGATCTAGAGACCATCTAACGGGGTGGACTGTGAGATCTAGAGACCATCTAACGGGGTGGACTGTGAGATCTAGAGACCATCTAACGGGGTGGACTGTGAGATCTAGAGACCATCTAACGGGGTGGACTGTGAGATCTAGAGACCATCTAACAGGGTGGACTGTGAGATCTAGAGACCATCTAACGGGGTGGACTGTGAGATCTAGAGACCATCTAACGGGGTGGACTGTGAGATCTAGAGACCATCTAACGGGGTGGACTGTGAGATCTAGAGACCATCTAACGGGATGGACTGTGATATCTAGAGACCATCTAACGGGATGGACTGTGAGATCTAGAGACCATCTAACGGATGAAGTGAAGGATATACCGAACATTTAATGAAAGTGCTATTGAAACCATTCAGAGACTGCAACAAAACGAGCCAAGGGAATATATATTTTTCATGGAAGGCATTATATTTTAATCTGAAATGTGATTGCTGTAAACTAGGTCAGTGCAAAGAACATGGGTTTCACTGTGGGGAAAAAACCTTGAAAACACAGATGCTATAATGTTAGAGGAACTTTAAAGTTAAGGGAATATTTTGCCTTTTTTTATGGCAACATTAGCATGATTTTAATTTTATTATAAATTCTTGTGTATAGTTGGTTATTTTGTCTTTTTCTTCTTGACTAACCTATACCTGATTTTGACCAGGTTGGACTTGGGCTTGGATACCTGGAGTTACCACAAGTTAACTACAAGATCTGTGTGGAACACAAGAAGAGGCCAAAGATTGACCTGCTGCCGGAAATGAGGCTTGTGAGTTATTCCACCTTCCTGAGACAGGACAGACTTGTCTCACGTTATCATATTTCTAAAATTTTAAGCATGTCATGTGTCCTTAAGGGGTTAAGTAGACATAAATAGCTGCAAATTAATAGGTTTCTTTGTGCATACCCGGAGGCATCAGAAGGTTCATTCAGACGAGGCCGTAAGCCTGCCAATGATTTGACAAGGCACCGGGGATCCACCGGGCACCAGCCACTTTCTCCAGTGAGATTCGGAAGTTCCTGCATGCAGCTTCCATTGGCTCTGTTAAGTGAGGTCCTCAAATGCAGGACCAGTTTGGTGACTGATCAAGCTCAGCCAATATGCTAATTACTGCACTGCTGGGCATAGCAAAATGCAGAGAGCTTCCCCTTTCATGGAGGAGGTGATGACGCCTGATAGAACCCAAGTAAATTGTCAAATGGCTGGCAAACCATTTTAATTCATTTGGGCATGGTATAATGGTGTCCTAAACGGTGAAAGCTACATTAGTTTCGACACTGAAAATCTCCATCTGCAAAATGGCTTGTAATACCTGCAGCGGCAGCCAACTCCTGCATAGTGTGAAATAAAACCTAGTAGAAGACAGATATCACACATATGTTGATCCATTTTCCTTATAGTCTTAAAAGAACATCCAAATCTGCTTACAGTCCTAACCCTGTTCTGTCATGTTGCTTCCAGCTCCAGAGCCTGCTGGACACAAAGTGTGTCTATATCCTGGACTGTCACTCAGACCTCTTCATTTGGATCGGCAGGAAGTCTTCACGTTTGGTCCGTGCAGCTGCCCTGAAACTGGGCCAGGAGCTTTGCAGCATGCTCCATCGACCCAAACATGCCATGGTTATTCGGAACCTTGAAGGCACAGAATGCCAGGTATTGGACTGTCCCTTTACACAGTGGAAGCAGAGTGGTCTTAGACACCTAGGTCAGGAGGTTCAGAACACCTTTATTTCTTTATCTCCAGGTGTTTAAGTCCAAATTTAAGAATTGGGATGATGTCCTAAGAGTCGACTATACTAGGAATGCTGAGACCGTGACTCAGAAAGAAGGTTTAGTGGGCAAAGTGAAGAAGGATGCAGAGAAGAAGGATCAGATGAAAGCCGACCTGACAGCCCTCTTCCTCCCACGTCAGCCCCCCATGCCAATTGCAGAGGTGAGTCCTGTTTTTGTCATGTGATGGAATGCTAAGAAATACATGTTTTCCACATTCTGCCTCTGTCCGTTAACATTTTTTACACCAGAGGGTGCTAGTTTACAATAATAATACTGCTATAGAAACCAATGTAATTGGCATCCTGGTTTATTCAGTGATGTCCAGTTACACTGCATTGATGGGTTATTCACGCGATACTTTTTGTTTCCTTGGTGGAAAATTCTCTATGGCCAATGCAGTGCCTAAATGTGTTTCTCTATAAAGGGACTCGGTGTACTCCGTGTAGGCCTTATGTTGCTTTCACAGATACTCCATGTAACACAATTCCTGATCTAGGCCTCGATTTAATATTTTTGGATAAGCTTCTAAAATCATTTAATATATTGTACCTCTATAACTAGGAACAGGGAGATTGGATATTATAACTAGTTATAGAGGTTATATTAGAACTTTTATATTCCTTTAAGCATGGATATTGGAACTTTATATTCCTTTAAGCAGGGATATTAGAACTTTATATTCCTTTAAGCGGGGATATTAGAACTTTATATTCCTCTAAGCGGGGATATTAGAACATTATATTCCTGTAAGCGGGGATATTGGAACTTTATATTCCTTTAAGCATGGATATTGGAACTTTATATTCCTTTAAGCAGGGATATTAGAACTTTATATTCCTCTAAGCGGGGATATTAGAACTTTATATTCCTCTAAGCGGGGATATTAGAACATTATATTCCTTTAAGCGGGGATATTAGAACATTATATTCCTGTAAGCGGGGATATTAGAACATTATATTCCTTTAAGTGGGGATAGTAGAACTTTATATTCTTTATGTTCCTTTAAGTAGAGGCAGAACTTCAGGCCATCAGCTCCCCTCTAACATTTGTCAGTGGTGAGATATATAAATGTATTTAGACTGCCTGTTTTTTAACTGTGGACTCGTTTATTCAGCTTCTTCCTGCTTCGTGTCATTTACTGATTTTCTATCCACACAGGCAGAGCAGCTGACTGAGGAGTGGAACGAGGATCTGGATGGAATGGAGGGCTTTGTACTGGAAGGGAAGAAATTTGCTCGCCTTCCAGAAGAGGAATTTGGACACTTTCACACCCAGGATTGCTATGTGTTCTTGTGCAGGTAACACCCCCTTCTGGATGGTCCGAGAATGACAGCTGAAAGTCTGCTGGGATTTTAGATAATGGGAAATGAGGAATAAGCAAGGCAGGTGCAGCATTTTCCAGGGAGTCAGCTTGCTCCTATTCAGCCAAACTAGTAAACTGAAAACCACATTTCACAATTCAGTTTAATATAGTGGCGATAGAAAATAATTCTTCATCTCCAATTTATAGCTGGACTATTTTAGCCTGAATCTTGCCCTTTGATTTTCAAATCTCCAAAATTCCCTCTTTTTAGTTAAATACTTTCTATGTGACCACAATTAAAAGTGCATAAATATTACAATATATACACAATATATTGCACAGGGCAATAGCAAAAGCTCTAACTAGAGCGATCTAATCTCAAATCACAGCCCTAGAGGAAGGCTGGTCACTTCTCTTACCTTAAGGCAGGATCTATAGATCAGTTACTGGCATCCCCGATGTTTCCAAGCTCTACTTTCCCTGTCATGCTTGGCCAACTCTGAAGGATTGTATTTCCTATTTTGTTTAATTTAATCCTTTTAATTTACCGTGCAAACTCTCACCCCAGGTACTGGGTGCCGATAGAACAAGATGAAGAGGAGGAGCAGCAGAATAAGAAAAGAAAGATACATGGACACGGTGACGAGGAAGATGATGACGATGAAGAGGAGGAGAAGCAGCCAGAAGAAGACTTTCAGTGCGTTGTATATTTCTGGCAGGGCAGAGAAGCGTCCAACATGGGCTGGCTGACATTTACCTTCAGCCTTCAGAAGAAATTCGAGAGTCTGTTCCCTGGAAAGCTGGAGGTTGGTTGGATGTTGACCGGTAACTTTTATCTGATCGGATAATGGTGGGTCAGTGAGAGATGCAAAACCCCTGAGATTAGACCTATGCAGGATCAAAGTATGGCGGGAGAAAACCCAGACAAAGTGCGCAGGATCAGATCTGTCTGTTCTTAGAAAGTTTATACAAAGCAGCATGGCCACTGGCGTCCATTGGGGGTGGGGAGGGGGAGGATATTGAAACCTTCTATGCCGTGTCTCTTAACAGGAGTTGGTGGTGGGGAGTGGATAGACTATTGGTTTCATAGGGATGAGTCCACTTGAGCTTCACTACAACAATGAAATGGCTGAGGGGTAATGATAATATTCTCTAACTTGCTGTAAAACCATCCCCTTTTCATTTTAGGTGGTCAGAATGACGCAGCAGCAGGAGAACGCCAAGTTTCTCTCTCATTTTAAGAGAAAGTTCATCATCCATAAAGGCAAGAGGAAAATGCGTGACGTGGGACTTCAACCAAGCTTGTACCACATACGGACAAATGGAAGTGCTCTCTGCACCAGGTACTGAACCCTGAAACCAGTGACTGACCTTGTGACCGCACCACTAAAGAACTGGGGAGCACACACACGTCATCGCAGGTGTAAAGCCCCGTCCGCTGTCCAGTGGCATTGAGTGTAGTAGTAAATTGTGTTCACACAGCTTGGGGGCGACGGGATGTAATTTTCTTCTTCCATACAAAAAGCAAGAGTTTAAATGAAAGATTACAGTGCAGTAACACTTGGCGTATTCACCAGCTATTTATACGGTTTTGTTATTTTGTGGTTTTCAGGTGCATCCAGATTAATACAGACTGCAGCCTCCTGAATTCTGAGTTTTGTTTCATCCTGAAGGTGAGTTCCCTGGGGATCTGTCTTGTGGTCAGACTGTCTCTTTCCGCCCATAAAGTGAGCAAATGGGGCTTTGTCCAGTAACCTCCTTCAAATCTGCAGGCTCTAACGCAAACCTATTAACAGAGGTAGTGATGTGTTTCCTGCAGGCAGGCTAGAATGACATTAAATTAAACCGTGTGCCGGCCTAGATGGCTGGTTTGAAGGTGCAAGCCATAAACGGACAGAGGGTCTGTTCAGGTCAAAATACCTTAAACATTAATACACTCAGCCGTGCGGTCATCATCTAAAATTACTGTGATTGACTGATGTGACACGAAGTTAAAGGGGCTCTCCAGTGCCAGGAAAACAAACCTGTTTTCCTGGCACTGTAGGACCCTGCAGTGGGGTTAAAACCCCTTAGCTGAATCCAGCGCCGTTGTCCCTTGGCGCTGGGTCATGCTCCGCCCACGTTCCTCCTCCCCCCCCCCTCCCCCCCCCATCGACATCAGTAGTCAGGGGAGACCCAATGCGCATGCGCGGCAATGACGGCATGCGCCCATTAGACCCCCCCCCCCCAGGAAAACATTACTCAATGCTTTTCTATGGGGATTCCAGTGACGCTGGAGATCCTCACATAGCGTGAGGATGTCCAGCATCATTTAAAACCCTTTTCGTGTTCTTAAGAACCCGGAGGTCCCTCTAGTGGCTGTCTTATAGGAAGCCACTAGAGGAGGACTTAACCCTGCAAGCTAATTATTGCACCCAGAGCACTCCAATGGGCAGAAGTGGTCTGGGTGCCTGGAGTGGACCAATGCCTTCCTCCCACATTCCTGTAAGCATTATTATGTCAGAGTGTGCTAGGATAGTCATAATATAACACCCAACATACCCAAAAAGTTTTGTTCTTTTATATCAGAGATCATATAAAGTTGCAGTGTTCATTGTAGGGGCTTGCTTGCACGCCAACAGAAAGGGAGAATAAAGAAATTATTGCTACTTTTTGACTTTGACATGCTGCAGCACTGCCTCGGGTGACTGACCATTTCATGTGTCTTTTTAAGGTCCCGTTTGAAAGTACAGATAACCAGGGCATAGTATACACCTGGGTTGGGCGAGCCGCAGACCCTGATGAAGCAAAACTTTCTGAGGATATCATGAACCATATGTTTGATGACACCTACAGCAAACAGGTGAGACGGTAGATTGATTTTAAAATGTCTTTTGGTTGTGTTCATTCATTTACTCCATATTTGTGCCAATAAATCTGGGAATACAGGTATCCTATGGGTTCTTAACATTCTAACAAGTAACGAGATTTCGGGTTCATTTTCAGTAGTCGCTGTGCTATGGTCGTTGCTTTATAGTTAAGTAACCGTTGAGAGGGCTTGTGGTATTGCCATCTTTTTGAATTCCTCTTTTCTGCATTTCAGGTAATAAATGAGGGAGAGGAGCCAGAGAACTTTTTCTGGGTTGGGATTGGAGGCCAGAAAGCGTACGACGAAGACGCAGATTATATGAAATACTCCCGACTCTTCAGGTATACATTTTTATTTTTAACTCCTATTGGGATACAAGCAACCAATACTGTCCACAAAAGGAGTTTTAATCACACTTCTCTGCCTCTAATTGCACTTCAAAAAGATGGCCGTGTAAGGTGTCAAATAGGAAATATCCTAAACTGTGCACTCTGCAACAGTACACGTAGTGTATCAATATTAAATGGCTCTTCGGATGCTAGATCTCTAAGTTTGGCTTATTTACAATTAGAATTATCCGTCTGTGTAGAGAAATGAATAGCAGTAATATTGTATTACATAGGTCGATTAGCGTATGACCTGTCCTATTAACTGTTTCACTCCATGTTCCCCTCCCAGGTGCTCCAATGAGAAGGGCTATTTCTCTGTGTCGGAAAAATGTTCAGACTTCTGTCAAGATGATCTGGCTGATGACGATATTATGCTGCTGGACAATGGCAAGGAGGTAAGAGCATGGTTCTAGAATTCTCCTTGTGACGTATGATTGTTGAGTTATTAACAGATATTAGCAGTAAATGTACGGTCCTAGAATAACAAGTACTATAGGTTCACAGTTTGATGCATATTTAAGCCCGTTTGGTGTAAGTCTACTACATTGCACATCGCGTTTAGATTATTGATCCTGGTAGAAGGTGTACATGTCTGGCACATCTGTATCATGTCTCCTTCTAGTCTCACGATGGCCAATTTACATACCCAGTAATGACCGGGCAAGCAACATACAACATAACTTTAAAATTATCGCAACATTTCATGCAAAAGCCACGTAATTAAATATATATATAGTGTGTGTGTATATGTAATTTCATGCAACAGTTCATGACTACTGTGTAAAGGTGAACCTCCAGCTCTGCCAGTTTATCTAGCTGTGCCCACAGGCGTTGTAACTGATATCTTGCTCATTTTCCAGGTGTACATGTGGGTTGGAACCCAAACTAGCCAAGTGGAGATTAAACTCAGCTTGAAGGCATGCCAGGTAAGTCTGTTTATGTATCCTTCCTGGATGCTGTATATTATGTCATGTTTATTTACCCACCAAGTGCATAGTTAGTTCTTATTATAACCTGTAATAAGTGGTAGAAAGCCACGTAATTTCTCTTCCTTTATGTCTGCTGTTAAAGTATAATAAAAGGTGACCAGTTTCGGCCTGGCCTATAATAATTTACTCCATATTATTGCAGTTGTAATGTGTGTCTGTCTCCCAAAACACTCTTTCCTCTTCCAGGTTTATATTCAACACATGCGAGCAAAAGACCAAGCGAATCCCCGCAAACTGCGCCTGGTCCGTAAGGGCAACGAACCGCACGCTTTTACCCGTTGCTTTCATGCTTGGGGTGCTTTCCGTAAGCCGCCTGCGTAGAATTATCAAGATGGACCCCTGGATGTCTAGCCCACACAGCCATAGCTGCTTGTGTTTAAAGGGCCAAACCAGATGCTAGGCAAGAAAGTGAAAACCTGACTTGGAGGCGAAGGTCGAGATCTGCCACGAAATGACTGAGAAATCGAATCGGACTTCATGAACAGCTCACTTCCACTTGGGCCACGTACTGCAATCACCTGTTTGTTTGTTTTGTTTTTTAGCAGTGTTACTTCACGTTGTGTGTAAGGAATCCCACACTGTAAAGGGAATATCCTGTTTTTTTTCTAAAAAAAAAAAAAAAACTAAACTTTAAAATCAAAAAGAACTCTTCTAATGCCTAAATTGTAACCAAAAAGTACTGTCATTGAATCCTGCCTGGAACAATTTATATTGTGCACTGCGGTTTCTCAAATCAGGCGCATCTGCCTGTCTCTCCCTGAAGCAGGATCAACAATCCCCCAGTGGTAAATATAAACACACACCGTGTTGAATATGGTTATTTATCAAGTTACGGAGCCCATTCACAGCCACTTATTATTTCAAACATGAGTTTTTAACTTACTTCCTTACTTCTAACAGCAAACTTTGGATTTTTCGTCCCCATAATGCCACATTACTCTTTAATATTGTTCCTGATCACACCTTAAACTGCAGTCTCTATGTGGAGACAGTATTCCATTCTTTAAGCTGCTTGCTGGGGGTGTGATTCACATATATTATTAAAGATATTACCCAGCTTAACTACTAAACCGGATGATTTTTTTAAGTGTGACTAGGAGAATTTTTAAACTTTGTGCTGTAACCAAATGCACATTTATAATGATGAATAAATATTTTTCTGTATTTAAAATGAATGCTTTTATTAAGACCAGTGTGGCCTATGTTCACTTATATTTTCTTTTTCTTTCAAAAACCGTTCTAGAACTTCCAGTTCCATCTAAAGGGCTTCTGCACTTGAAGTGACACCCAGCTAGTTCTGCAATTTAAAAAAAAAAACCCAGATTTTTTTAGCGAAATCTGAATATATGCAAATTGAAGTCTACTACATTCCCAATCTGTTCTATATAACACTTACAATAGATTTGTACTGCTCCTGGAAAGTGGAAACAAAATATTCAATGATATATAATCAAAGGTTTCAGACTTTCGTGATGCCTATAAATGCTAAAAATCTACTTCAAGGTGGTTCATAGTCCGGTAGTGGACCATAACTACTTATGTTGTACAGGTTCACTCCTTTTCAGCAGACTGACCCTGAAGGAGATATTCCATTAATGAGATTCAGCAGAAAGTGACAAACATTGTTTCCTGTAATAACGTGTATTCTCTCTGTGAGCTTTATTTCTCAGACTGGGAATGTAGTAGATTATTTATATGGCCTCCCTCTTTGTTCTGTGTTGACAGGGAGCATCTATGGTTTCTTTAATAAAAGGATGTTAGTAGCATATTTTGTCTGCTGCATAAACCGAGATAATGAGGTTCTCTATGGGAGGGGAAGGTGGTATAAATACTGTATGAGCTATCTTTTAATAAACTTGCACTTCATTATACTGTGGGTTGAGTGGTTTGTATCGTCATGGGAAATCCCTAAACATCTGCTTCTACATGCAGATACTGGCCCTCTCGCCGTTCTATTCCCTGCAGTCTCCATCTGCAAGAGTTTTTATTTTTTTATTCCATGGTAAAATCTGATATTGCAATATTATTACAGTAACATTTTATACCTACCCCCCCTAATCCTTATTAAATGTGTGTATATACATTTTCTTTCTCTCTCTCCCCCCTTCCGACACTGTAAGCAATTTCCTCTCATTGAAGTGGTTATAGTGACGAGTCGCCCAGCACTGTTTCTTTATTCAGAGTTAAACTGTTTAAGTAGTTTACACTAAACAAGGGTCTCACTGGAGGCGAGGCTAAAACAGGAATTACACACTTCCTCGTAGTTATACCAAGTCACACCAGCAGCAGGTGCTGTGATAGGCTGAAAGTAATCAGGTGACACTCAGCCAATCACAGCCATCCATTGCTGATCAGACTAATGCTTCATTAGCTCTAGCCAGAGAGAGGGGACGTCTGCTGGGGAATCCTGTTTAGTATTAAAAACTGTTTAATGTTGAATGGATGGCGCCAGACACTATAACCACTTTAATGTGAGATGAAGTAGTTAGTGCCTACAGCAAGCATGTCAAACTCAAAGCCCAACATGGGCCACGTAATCAAGGTTTAAGTTCATGTGGGCTTCAAAAAAAATAAATTTTGAAAAGTACAGTATAAAAAAAAGTTGCCTGACTGACACTGGACATCCTCACACTCGTAGGGCTTCAAAGTAAACAAACAAATTTATTTTATGGAGATCTGCATTTGCATATAACCAGTGCTCCACTCCAACTACCTTGACATATTAAGAAAAGTTTGGTAATGGGACTGAAATGGTGAGAGTATGCTGTTGCACAGCTGTTAAAAAAAAAAACCTGATGTTAAAAGCCTATGTCCTTCACTTTGGCTGAAATCAAATTTGATGATCTCAGCCAATCCAATGATTTCCCGTAGGAAAGTATTGTGAGGCTATTGTGCATGTGTGGCAAAAAGCTGCACGGCCAAACAGCATCTCCATGCAGACCAATTTAATACACTGGAAAATCGAATACACTTCCCCTCCACTCTAATGTAATACATTGCCCCCCCACTCCCATCACTAATTTAATACACTGCCCTCACTCACCCAACTTAATACACTCTGCTCTCGTGGCCATGGGAGGGAAGACAAGAATAAGACCGGAAATATCTTTCCTGTCTTGCAGCTGGTCACAGCCACAGCATGTGGGCCACAAATATATTCATTGTGGGCTGCAAGTGGGACATGCTTGGCCTACAGTGTCCCTTTACCCAAAATGGGAAATTTCCAAGAGTGCACATTCTGCAATGAGCAAACACGATCGAGGAGTGATGGTTCACAAATCCTTGCAGCTGAGGCTTCTGGGAAGTGTTGTTCATGTGACATCGAGTGTAGAAAACTAAAGATGAATTACACCTGTAAACATTCAATGCGCATGATAGTAGTTTTGCATAAGTCTACAATATCTCTCTCCTCAACTACAAATAACTAACCTAACATTTAAAAATTTAAGTCCTATGCTGCAAGACTGGCCTAAACGTTACTCACATTGGAAGTCCAAGGTTCACTCATCAGAGGTTAATCGTCACTCACCAATCGCTTGTACATACCGCCTACCTCTAGCATCCTAAGCTGATGATAAACCCACCCCGTATAACTAACCTAACATTCATGTGTGAGTGAGAGCCTGGACTGTCGCTATAATAATATAAACTCACTATACTAAGCTACACAGTGCATCAACTGTAATCGGAATAGAGTGGCTTACATGCCATTTACCTCGAGTTGCCACCGCTACCATTTATTTTTAATACTAATTAGTGGACAACCAGCATTTCTCAAAAAAAAAAAATAAAAAAAAAAAAAAAAACTACATGTATAGACATTGCTTAAAATGTATAATTTACTGCCAATCTGCAACAGAAGGTCCTCAGTTACAAGTGAGTGTACATCTATTTCTGTTCCTGGTTCCAGCCCATATCACCATTTAACGTTGAATAATTGTAGATTTCCCCCACGTGTCCGTAATCTGTAGGTAAAACATTACCTCACTCTAACCCCGATTTTAACCCACCTTAACCCTAAATGTCCCAGTTGAGCCCCTAAATGGCTAAACAGACCTTTTCCTGCAGCCATGATATGGGATCAGTTAACTCCAGGTTTTATTCTGGAGGAGCCAATGTACGAGTCACTGATGTAGGTGCGGTTCCATGGTACACGAGGCACTGGCCTACACACTGGGGTCACAGCTGTGACCGGGCGCAGCCGCCCTGCAAACCGGTTATGTGTGGCTATGGATGCATTTTGCCAGCCTCTTCTCCTGGCCGAGGAGGAGGAGAGCTCCCCACCCGGCCCTGGAATAAAAGGAAAGTTTAACCCCTTTCCTCATCATCCAGCCCAGCGGGAGAGGGTCCCCGAGAAGGAGGATCAGAGGAGGAGAGCTCTCCGCCCAGTGCTGGAAAAAAGGTAAGTTTTAACCCCTTTCCCGAGCCAGGCGGGAAAAGCATATTCCTAGAGTCCCTGAGGGTGGGGGCACCCTCAGGGCACTATAGTGCCAGCAAAACACTAGAGTGGTCCTTTAATATTTGCAGTTCCCAAATCAGAGAATACCCACTGCAGTAGCAAAAAAAAAAGGGATTTAAAACACAAATCCTCCACTCTGGACAACTTTAAAGTTATCTAGCCGCTAACAACTTGTGACATAAATGATCAATGCATGTCCCTTTAATGTCGGATGCCTCATTTTGTTCTATGTTCAGGCAACTCTAGCTTTATTGTGAATGTTAAGATATACATCTATGGAGATAAAAAAAAAAAAAAAAGGATTTAAAGTGCACTGAATATGGAAATTGATACCAAGTATTACTTTACTCGTTCTTACCAAGGTTTAAAATTTTTTTTTAAATAAAATTAAATATAAATAGACAAAAATTCTTTATTTTTCTTTTAATAAAAACCAGGGTAATCTAAACAAAAAAAAAAAAAAAAATTACATTCTAAACAGAAAAATAAAATCCACAGAAAATGGATCATTCTCGAAAGATAAACTGGTCAGAGACAACGTTAGCAAATCGTTTCCAGCTCTGCTCTGTTCCCCTACCCCCATATAAACTGTAGTCATATCACACAGAAAGATACGCCGTACCAAAAATAGCCTTAAAAATGGAAGGCAAGGCATACAAAAATATTTCTAAAAACTCAAAAAAAAAAGTTTGGGTAATCCCCAGAGTGCTGCAAGGGGCCCAATAACTCACAGTTTGTGCAACTAGCAGTCCATGGCTGCAGTGAAAGTGAATATATTACAAATAAAACAAATCTAGTTCAGCCTGCAAGTCTTCAACTGCCAAAAGACTTAGTGTCCCATGAGGCTTTACCAGGCAGCCAATGGGATTTGTGGGAGTGTAGCATTTCTTTGATTGCTGTATACGGCCTATGTTACAGCCAGATATAACCCGGTAACGCAGCAGAAAGGGCAGCTTCTGGAGTCACACCAGGATCACAGAAAGGCAGGTGAAATCCGGCTACTCACATACATAATGCAGGAAGCCAGAATCAGTTCGGTTATTGCTGGGTTAATGGCTTTTTAAACCAATTCTCCACTTTAAGCCTGGGGGCATGAATTGAAAACTTTAAATTAGCAAATTGGGTATTCAAGCTGAAGCTATAGGATTTATTTCCTCAAACACTGAATTGTAGTAAAGTGAACAGTTAACGGCAAGTGGCGGCATAGTTGGGGAATTTATTCTCAAATCCAACCTTTCCGCCTACAATGTACACCTTCATTTTCAAGTCACTACAATTCCGTGTTTTGAGAATAAGCCCTTTGGTGATTGTGATGTGCTTTCAAAGTGAAACGTGAATTTGAAAAGGAAAAAATATCAGATTTATAAAAATTCACTTCAACAGCAGAAATCTGGAAGAATCAACTAGCCAGCCCATCCGGAGTATGAGATTCCTCTGCAGAAATCGGAACGGGAAAGGATCATCTAAAGAGCTAAAATGCTCATGGCGGTGGGGATTGTAGTTGAATGCCAACAATTGTGAACCTGAAAGCTTTGGTCTGTACAGTTGGGGACACATGATAACCATTTCACAGCAGTTCTGGCGAGTTTTAAACAAACAAGACCCCTCTTTATCAGTCTGCAGAGGGAGGCAAGATTTGCTGGTACGAAACACTGAAGAAAAACACTTCTCTAGATTTACCATCCCGCTTCAAGGCACGCCGAGATATTTCCCCCTTTAAGCCACCTGATGGCAGGGTAGCGATAGTTCATTAAAATCCAGCAGGGCCGCTGTTCAGGAAAGCAGCCAGAACCTGCCTGTCCACGGGGCACCGAGGCATGCAGGAGTGAAGATGGTCTAAAATCCATGCTATTGGGGAAGGTCCTATCAACTGGTCACTCCAGCCCCTCCATGCCATAAATCCATGGTTGTCCTGTTAATCAGCAGTTCCTTTATGAAATCTACATCACGCAAGGGAACAAAACCAGATTTTGAGGGGTTTCCGTTCATTTTCTATGCCGTGATAGTATGAAAAGAATTTTAGGAGGAACAATGCACACTTCGTAGAAGAGACTGCTGTAATAAGCTCACTTATAACGGAGGTCCGGTGGCACCGCCTGCAAGCAGTCTGGGAAGTTACTGGAAGAGTGAAGAGTAAAATCCACATATGCCTCAGATTAGTGTCTGCTGATGTGAAGGCTGCTCCACACAAGTTCTAAGTAAACCAGACGTCCATGGAGACTAGATGACAGTCCTGTCCTAAAGAAGAGGGAGGGGAGGGGAAATGCTGCTATGAAAAATGAATCTAGCACCAGGCAAACATAACAGACATGATCCTACAACAAGGCTGTTAGCACTGCACTGAGCACTATCAGGGGGTACTTTTAAGTACTGACCTCATTTAATGAGGATTTCAGAGGAACGTGGGTCATCTGTAGAATTCTTTATGTTTCTCTCAGACTCTTCTGTCGGCCTGTAGAAAGAAATGGGAGAAGGGAAGATAAAATTTTACACATGCACACTATATGAAAAATGCACTTTACTGTTGGTCTAAAAGTTTAAACCGCCAAAAAAAAATTTGTAAAAAAAAAAAAAACACAAACACGCAGCCTTCTCATCTACCAGTCATAGTTCAAAGATCAAAGACAATAATGAATCTAGGGAGACTGAAGGAAAAAAAAAAAAAAAATGGATTTGTTTTCCTGGCACTGGAGAGTCCCTTTAAAAGGATAGTTAATGCCCACTATGGGCTTTAAGGTTACTGTGATATAGGTTATAAATGCTATAAAAAGTTATATTAAAGTCCATGGTATGATTACATATCCCTATCCAGTTACTTGCTAAATAAGCGTTCTATGTAAGAACGGTTAAAGAGCGCTCAGGAAGTTGGTAATTCAGGGTATGGGTGGTTTCTCTGTATATTATATTATCTTTTTACTGTCTGTAGCGGATTGGTAGACAGAATAATGGAAGAGAAATTTGCACAACATAAACTCGTTTTCATACCAGGGCTGCGTAACATAGTAAAGGCATTCGGTTTTTGAACAAAACCTGCCATTTACAACATTAGGAAATGTCTGAAATTGAACAAGTTTCACACTAGGCCAAAATAGACAAATTGGAAGAATTAAAATATGGACTATATAGTGTCAATGTGATTTAATACGGTACTAGCACAAATCACTCTCAATGGGAAAATTATTTATTCAGAAACAAAGCAGCGATTCTGTAGGACAAAAAAAAAAAAAAAAACCCTGCCCACACTTACCCCAGTATATCCCTTACATCTTCTACGGTGATGTCACCTGTAGTATCGAGCGTGGTGTCTGTACTATTCAGAGGAGAGTCAAGAGGGGAGGGAGATAAGGCTGCCATGTGTTCATTACCTGCAGAGAGCCAGGAAACCGTGCCAAAAGTAAACAAAAGTTAGACGGAGAGAACACACACACTGGTAACAAGTGACTGAGGTTTTTTTCCTTTTGGCCTGGGAACTTAAACCACAAAACGTGAGATAAGGTGGTCTTGTTATCTGTAACAGTGTTAACATGGTTACTGACAGGGATGGCTACAAGCTAGAATCTTAGCTGATGCAGAATTACATCTTCCAAGATATTATACTCCCAAGCTAAACGCCAATCCAAATCTAAAACCATTTTGTTTTGCCCACATACAAACTATAAGAGTACCGCAAGCATATTAAAAGAAACTAATATATATTATATATGTCCATGAGAATCCAGCTACGGCGACCAGAAAATGCAAAACTTTCTCATACAGTTTTGCGAATGAGGAGCTACTACTCAGCCCATTAGCGCTGCAAAGACCAAGGCTTTGTCATTGAATCCTCAGACATTAACAGAAATCGCTCTAAACCATTAATAAATGGGTTAACCACTCAAGATAAGACAGTACTCAGGATCTCCACCATAGCTTCATTAAGATGGCATCCAGAGCATTTCTTTAAACGTATGAAATGAACTTGTTTAATATGCCCACATATTTAAAACGTCTCTAAAAATGTTCTACTTTTCATTTTATTAATTAAGAGAAATTTCTAAGCACTCACCTTCTGTTCCCAATTGAGTCCCTTCGGAATCCCTCGCTATGTGAGTTCCATTAGCCTGATTGGTTTTTGGAGAGTCTGCACCTTTGCTATGGAAACAAAGAAGGGAGGATTTTATATTGAATAAAGTAAAACCTGGGTTGGGAGAAATCGTGGGTGGATGAGAGCCAGAAGCCAGTTTTTAATTTCAGGGTGGAAGACAAAATTGTGAAGACACTCAGTTGTAGAGGATAGGAGGAGTGTTTTATAAGGTGGGGGCCCATTTCTGGTTGCTAAGGAACCAGTCTGCATCTATCCATGCGGGGTATATCCATCCATACCTTAGGTGTAGTGCATCGTGAGGTCGCTCAAACTCTACCAGGCACACTGGCTCTGTGATGTGCTTGGCACTGAGAGAAAACCGTTCATATTCCGATGGAGAGATCAGGTAAAATCCTAAAGCAGAGAGAAGGAGGACTGTAAATATAAAGTTATAAGGAGGTGCAGGGTTTATCAAGACTTTGGGAGCAGTCTCATTTTGAATGTTTTTTTCACATTGTACAGCTGTCAAAGCAGAACATGTAAAGTGTTAGAGAAAAATAAAAAATAAAAAGGGGGGGGCATGCATGACAGTAACACGTATCCTGGACGATGAAAACTGACCACACAAGAAAGAGTCAGGTAAGTACATCTTGCTTTACCTTTTTAACTATAACATGACACACAAAGCAGGTAGATCAACTTGGGGTATTTGCTAAATATGCAAAGAACCCAAAAGTGACAGAGCTGCAATAAATCCAAGTTTCCATAATTCAAGTGGAAAATCCATGAAATATGGAAACATTTCAATCTAAAAGGAGAGCAAAATATTGCCACTTGGAATTATGGAGTGTAAATCACAAAAGGTTTCACTAATAGAACATGGGATCTTACAACCTAGACCTCAATAGCAGGGGATTCAAACAATTCAGAACAGCTGGAGACAAGGTTGAACACCCAAATCTAGATCAAGTAAAATGCAGTGTCTTACAGGGAACATCTTATTTTGTAAACAGATTAAATCAATCATAATGGATTAACTTTGTTTTTCAATAATGTGCCCCAATCTCACCTTGTCCATATTTTGTAAAGATACAAGATGCGATTCCACTGATATCTTCCTTGCGGATGCAGTCATATCGTACTTGCGGTCGCAGCCCTGGGACACTGAAAACGTGAATATCTCCCAGGTTTGTCAGACATGTCAAACAGTTCTCAGCATAATCTTCAGATGTACAGCTGACAAAGGTGGCCAGAGCCACTTTCCGTACCCGGCAACCCTCGTGGGCTGTCAATTTAAACTTTGTTTTGGCACTGACCTTGGGCAAGGTGAATATCTGGAAACAACAACAAAGCTTTTATACAAGATTTTCCTAAAAAGATACTGGAGATAGATATAGATATATATTTTATTATTTTTTTTAATAAAAAATAAGTACAAAAAGCTAAATATTTAATTATGAACTTATGCAATAAATTAAGATCGCTTTTTTCAATAAACACTGTAGGTTGTTCAAGCCTTTTTGCACCAATGTCAGTGAAATTTAAAAAGCATAAAGTGCGTAGGTCTGTTTGTGGAAATATTGCTCAGTTTTTACCTGCCTTCCTGTTTACATGTGCCAAGATCTCTTCTGGTGCAGTTGGGAGCATAATAAAAGTACCACCAATTAAAAAAGAGTTTAATAACAGAGTTATTGGGTGCTGGTGGCAAAGCTTCAGTTGCGCCACTAACCTTGAATTGCTCCTCAGAAGCAATGAGCACAGAATGCGTTCCCTGCATGTCGGGTGCTTTCGCCAGGTCACGTGACACTTCATAGGGCTCTGGCAGAGGATTCCCCCTGCCATCCAGTACCGCTATAGACACAACAGGGGCACGATGCATGAGTTGGATTTCCTTTCCCAGAATGGCCTCAGCACATCGCTCCGAGAACTTCTCCCGCGATGGCACTTCTAGGGCATATGCAAACACGGAACCGGAGTTGGTGCCTGCCCACATAGTGGGTCCATGATGGACAGCTAAGGAGACACAGTCACAGATTATAATCCATCACAGGGGCAAACCCTCAGCCATAGATTGTGTGTTTTGTAAAAGGTGGGGGGGAGGAGTATATGCATTTTGTACCATCTCTAAGAAACGTGTCAGCAAAATACAAGCAGCGCACAACACCAGAAAGGGAGTCATCGGCTGATCGGGGCTCAATCCTTCTCTGAACAGGGGTCACTTCCAGGTCATGAGGTCCTGCCTGCTCGGCAAGATGGGCATTCGCTTCCTGCAGCTGGGGAATTAGAGAGACAAACAGACATATGCCCATCTGGTTTCCTTACTTTATTATTAGACATACCAACTCTAAAACACAGAACAAAAACCATTTAAACAGTAGCAAGATTTAGATTCATAACCCCAGCTTCCAGTCACAGGTGTTCTACCTTGCTTGCTGGGCTTGCAGTGTTCGGTCTCTTCTTTCCTGAAACTCTGCTTTTCCGGATTCTACGGAATGACTGCCTTAGGGACTTCTTCAGAGACTTGACGCGGGACAAAGGTCCTTCCATAGCCAGAGAGTCATTTGGGTGCAGAGTGCACCTATAGAAAGAATTTAAAAAATAAAAATAATTAAAAGAAACAAAAAAGTAATGGTTTAAGGAAAGGAATGAACTAGAGTACAGTCTTGCAAGGGTGATCAAATGACACACGTGACCTTTCTCAGGAAAAAAATCCAAAGACACAGTAACATGAAAAATTAACATGACTGTCTATGCTACAGAATGTTTGTTAAGGACTGTTGGCCCAGTAGACACAAACTGCTCTCTGCATTATGGGATTTAGTGGAGTCTGTTACTCAGAGGGAATAAATGTCAGTTCACATAAAAAAAAAATAATAATTTAATTAATTATTTTTGACTAGTAGATCGGGAGTACTAAGGGAGCTACAGGCAGGTTGGACTAGAAGATCAGGAGAACCCTGGGAGCTACAGGCAGGTTGGACTAGTAGATCAGGAGAACCCTGGGCATGTTATGTTGAGGGTTGCGCACAGCTTTAGGGCCACTCTGTTCATCACCACTGACAACCATATATGGAATAGAGAGTAAAATGGCAATAAGGAATCACCCTTTACACAAAGGCAGGCCATTAGTAGATCTGTCTCTGGTTCCTCATGTACCCCTATCAATATCAGTCTCTTCAGGGATACATTCAGTGTATTGATAAGACTAATTAAGTGAAGTCAATCTATTTTTGTCCAGTATTGAAAAATCTGCAACCCATGTTACCTTGCAAGCACAGGACTCCTTCGGTGATAATCAAAGAGCCCAAAGCCATGGCTAGTGCCAAATGCCACAAGACTCCACTCTGAGTGCAAGGATACAGCGGTCACAGCTGCTGGCGGCATACACTGAACCAGAAGGGTTGTCTGGAACCCAGGTGGGAAAAACAGTGATCCGTTTCTTGGAGTCAGTCTATCATGGCCTTTCCACGTGAAGCCTTCTCTGTCCTGCAAGAGGTCCACAGTTGCCACGCCTATCGAGTGATCGGATTTCTCATCACTCAGATCCATCACCAGAACCTGTAAGTATATCACAAACCAGCATTGTGAAGACCAGATCACGTGGGTTCCAGCCACAGGACTTAGTGGAAGTCATAAGTGAACCCTTACCTGCCCTGCGGTGCCAGCCACCACCATTTTGCCACTGTACTTGCAGAGGGCAATCTTCTGTATACCAAGGCGTGGATCATCACTGTATGGATCAAAGCATCCAACCTGAAAGACAGATGGACATATTCTATCACTGAATGCGTGTGGCCAGGCTACAGTCTAGAACTTCCATGACAGCACACTGCTTTCTTAAACTGTCAGGGAGTTGGAAAAGTAGCAGATAAAAGCGTGTAAAGTTGGTTGCTAAAGCACAATATAATAATAAAAAAAAAAAAAACAACACAGTTCTGTTTAGCTGAACAGAAACAGGGTGGGAGCAAGATAACATTGGGTGGGGAGGTGTTTCAAGCAAGAAAACTATTTAGGGAGTGAAGAGATGTTTAAGGCAGAATGTGGCCAGCATTTCCTGCCTGAATGCCAGAACTGTTGCTTAAGTGTGCAACACAGATCTGGCTGCTAACACCGCGTTGTGCTAAGATGGATACAGAAGATCTGCTCAAAATCAGACATTGACGTTCAGCATGCTTGGGTTCCTACCCTACTAGACCAGGCCATGGACACAACACTGAGACACATTCTCTTGCCACGGAGCCTCTGGCCCAGAAGAGGACATGCTAGATACCTTACGGAAAGGAGGCCAATCCTCCTCGTTGCTCTGGTTTAAACTCTCATTGTGGTCACAGTCTGTCTGGAAAATACCCGCTGTCCCTACGCGATAGAGGGGCTTCAAGGCAACTCCAGAGGCATCCCAGAAACGTACAGTCCCATCTTCATGGCTGATGAAAGAAAACACAAAAGCAGGGCGTGAACTGTCTTACACTTACAGTGATATCAAAGTGCAGAATCAGAAGTACTTCTATAGGTTTCAGAATGAAAAGCTTGTGTTTCCTAAAGCTATAGCAGATGGGGTACAGATTTGGTAAAGAGCAGAACGATAGATAATCTAAAGAGGAGTACAAACATGCAATAGATTATAGGTTCTTTAAAATAACCCCCCTTCCCAGTAACGGCTGAATGGTCTGGACTGCACAAGATAGACGGCCACAGGCCTGCCTGGCTGATGATCCTACTGTTCTAGCCGAGAGGGAGTGCTTAAAGGACCTCTCCCCCACACAGCTGGAACCACTCTCTTCCAACACTGTATGATGATTTTAGATTAGCCTCCTAGGTTTTGCCAAAAATTAAAAACAAAAGATTCCCAAAACGCTTTCCAGTTTTGTCACGCTTTTTGAGTCATTGCCAATGTAAACAGGAGGGAAGTTCAGCCCACACAACAAGTAAGAACCTTACTACTCATTTACATAGTGTAGTCCCATTATCAGGACTTCACCCTCTACTTCATGCAGGGATGGGATAGAGAAAATAAATAAATAAAATTAAAAAATATATATATTTTTTTTAATAAATGCAATTCATTCAGTATGGATATTAAATTAGTCAAAAGTTAATCTATATAAAAAAAAAAAAAAATTAAAAAAAATTTTAAAATTGGATTTCGAATCTGCAGTCAGCACGGATATCAGACCAGTACCAGGTTAGTCAAATTAAAGTCTCATTCAATCCAACAATACTTGGTAGTTAAAATATGAACAATGTAGAAAGCAAGTTTAGGTGTCTAAACATTCATAATTTCTCCAAGTCAATTTGAAAGCACCATGCATTTAGTCATACCCAGTGAGAAGAAGTCCTCTCTGCGCTGGCTCCTCCGCTAGGTTTTTTCCACCATCTATTGGCCAGTTCTGACAAGAAGAAAAAGCCAGGGCTACGTTTTAATGGACATTTTGAGACAGATCAAAGTACAATTAGAACAAATGTTCTTTTCTTTCATTAATATTTAGATACTCACTACGGAAGAGAGTTGAGGATTCTGTTGCTTGCCCGCACTGATTATTCTCTCCCACAGCTTGAGGGTCACATTGGAGAGGTGATAGGAGCAGGTAATGGCTGAAGAGTGGAGCGGGGCCAAGTATGGTGAAGGAATCGTGGGCCACCCATGAGATACAAGGTCAATCACTACCAACTCTTCCTCCACTAAGACTACCAGGGCAGTGGGATTGTCTAACCCTACAGGCAACAGAAAGAAAGGAGGAACATTGTCAACATACCAAAAATGATAGGTCTATGTGCAACGTCTATTTTGTGGTCCCAAGTCCCAAATGCAGAGTAGTCAGCAGGAACATTCCTCAGACACTGCCCCACATTCTGTCTAAGCAAAAGCCATCATGTTTTCAGAATATTTAGCAAGTGGTCCAACAATAAAACATACGTACCATCCTCACTCTGGAGGGAACACACTGTGAAGAAGTCAATAACGCGGGATGTAAAGTCCAAGGTGACCAGGTTCTTGTCTTGCAGGATGGTGACACAGTGTCGATCTCCATAGCTGGCCCGTGGCATGCCACCACTAAATATAATAAAGTGATTCCTGCAGGAAACATTTAGAAGGAGGAGAGTACCATCTTTGAGCCTCAAGATCGCAGCAACAAAGCAGTGACGACCTAAGTTATGTATGTTTTTACTATACACCTCGTACTATTGCACAGTTGTATACTAGAAAAAAAGAAATAAATCTTTCAATAAAATACAAGTTGGGGGGGGGGGGGGGGAAAGGATAGTACTAAAAGTAGCAATCAAGCAAAACCGTAATGCAGAGTATCTCACACAATGGCAGGTCTGCAGCCCACAGGATCGCTTTTATCCAAGCAGAGTACAATATTCACTGCTTCACTACAATGAGCCTGAACTGCCTTGAAGCCACGCTTACTGCAAAGTGACGTGTTTGTTTGTTATATTATGTTGTAGTCTGTATAGGACAGGAACGTTCGTTCCCTTCACATCTGTTTGCCTATTGTATCTCCGAAGTCAACTACGTAGAACATCTACAAAAAGACTGTATATGGCTAAATCAAAAGACATCCTAAGTAAACACAGCTAAATATGACAAATACATACCCCAGACTGCTGGATTTCCATTGAATTTTGTTTATAGCTTTGCAAGGAAAAGGCCCTGGGAAAAAATTAAAAAAGTATACTTGACAATGTGCTACAAATATTACGTTTGGTGGGAGGGCAAGGGAATAATTCATGAAAAATATGATCAGTAACAATCATCAAGATTATTAGTTTGTGCATCACATTTCATCAAATCATCAGAGTGCACAGCTTGTTAGAGCATTATGGAGTATTAATTCAAAAGAGACATTTGTATTCAATTTAAATGTTTAACACTGAATGGAGGGGGAGTTTCAGGGAACTCAGTGAGATTAAATGGATATAGTGCTTACACTTTAAGTTGCCTTATAAAAGGTTACATCTTACACCTGTAATTTTGCAAAAAATTAAAAAATGTTGAAAATAAGAGTGATATTTATACTTATGCAAACAACTCAAGCTGAGAGAATGTGCTGGTTAGGATTTACACGGCGAGAGGGAGGAACAACTAGAACGTTACATCAAGGGTCGCTACGAAGAGTACACAGGATCTAAACAATATATACTGTTCCAGTTTTACTATATAATGAGGACCCAAGTCTCTCGTACGCTGCTTCAATCATCCCGTTATAGAGCAGATCTGTTGAAATTCCAACTCGAGTTCAATAAACTTACAGTGATATTATACAGGAAACCGTCAGTCCAACTTAAACATTTTAGACACAAAGCATCTAAAAGTGGTGTCACATTACAGTGAGAAAATTAAACAATGCTATGAGAATGGTGTGCGTGGTCAAGAAATCTAAAAAAGGCTTCGGATTTCCTCCCTATGCAATAGTGAAAAGGAAGAACCATTAACCAAATTAGATCTTTGGAGAGTACGAGTGGAGAAGGTGACAACAGCCAATAGAACTTTGACTGGTGCGTGTGTGTCGTCCAGTTTTTGGCAGTACAGGGCAGAGTGCTGCATCAGCTCAAACATTAACCCCAAAATATTCAGAGATCGGTGGTTTAACATTACATGGTGACCACAAAGAATGAATAATGGAAAGTTTTGAAGTTTACATTTACAAAGTGACCTGAGTGATTGTTCTCTGCAAAAGGAATATGCAACGGAAAGTTTAGCTGGTACTCTCACCTACACCGGGATATCTAATGAATGGAGCTTGACAAGATTAGATGATAGTTTTGCTGTCCCCCATCTAGTAACGGTCTATTCAGACAACAGCCACTAGAGGGAGAAGTATTGTCCATGAATATCAATCTAGATCTGCCCAATAGATAGATCTTCAGATGTTTTAAAACTATTATGCTTTGCCGTTCTAAAAGCATCATGGGAGATGGAGTTCTACATCTGGGAATCTACCTATTGGGCACCCTTGCTCTAGAAGCTCCTGGGAGACAAGTTACACCACAGTCAACAAAACTTCACCACTTTTCCTTTTTTTTGGGAAGATCCACTCACAACAACCTAGAAGTATGATCTGATATGATACAAAACCAGCTACAGATTTTTTTTAAAATAAAGAATGTTAAATTATGGGACCAGCTATCTGAGCTCACCGTAAGGTATGGTAGCAGTAACCGGCTGCGTTGTGGTGGGGGAGCTTCCACCTACCGCCCACACCATGTAACCACCATCACTGTGTGAGCTGACAAAAGAGGTCCCACTGCTTTCCCAGCAAAGGCTCTCCAACTGCTGCAAGAGACACACAGAGCCACAATGTGTTAATCAGCATTTTAAACCATCACACACTGAACTGAGTCAAAACTATTAATTTTTATTTAAAAAGACATTTGTAGAACGAGGAGATGACCAAGAACCAACTTAAGGGAGAGTGTACGTAACCCGGTACAGCTTTGTAGTTAAGAGATAACTATTTTTTTCTTAGCTTTAAAAAAAAAAAAAATCTATCAAATGATAGAGGATTCCCCCCGCAGCAGTCTATTTGGCTTTCAAAAAATTCAATGCTTAGTAAAGACACCCTAAAGTAAAATCTAAATGACAGCCACAGAAAGAGGGAAAAAAAAAAAAAAAGTTAAAAGCCATTGGGCTTGACAGTTTCTAATCGAAGCATATTTATTACAACCAATAATATCAAGGTGTTCCTTGTAAATAGCACATAAAGCCATTACCCCTTCAGGGTTAGTAAGCAGTAGGAATTAGAGGTCACTTGGTTAAAAAAAAAAAAAAAAAAATTTGGCCTTGTTACCTGATTGCCCAGGAAGACATGTTCCACTTTGTGATCCCCTTGGTTCCACAGAGCCACCAGTCCTCGACTGTAACCAATCAGAATCCTTCCTGGCTGTTGAGGATGTTCCTGTAAAGACTCCACAGGACCCAATGACTTCCCACAGCGATGCTCCTCTGGCATACTGACAACAAGAAAGGACATTAGTCAGTTTGTCTGGAAATAATGGGACCTTAAGCCACAAAATTAAAATAAAAAAAATATTCAAATTGGACTAGTCATCCCAAACCATATAGTCTGTTTCAGATTCATTAATTTTTTATTTAAAAAAAAAAAAAAAGTGATAAGGGGAGGAGGGTGCAGTATTTGGCTCCAGTCCAGGTGACGGCAGCGTGTCAAACCTGTTCTCACCTCTGTAAGACCTCATCTGGAAGCAGGGTCCGATCCTCCAGGAGCCTCAAACTGGGCAGCTGCAGGAAGTACACACCACCACCTTCTGTCCCCAAAGCAGCCATATTGCACGCGGCATTCACTAGAATCACAGTCACGCGCGTAGTGCTGGGAGGGGAACTGCAAAAATCACAAGGAACACATGGTCAGATTCCGGCTTCCAAAAAGGATTTTATTTTTAACAAGCATACCAGTAGCCATCTTGGGGGTAGGGGTTGGAATTCCAAAAAAATTAATTAATAAAAGCAGGGAGAAAGGGGGCAGTTCCTCTTTAAAACTGGAGAGGAGTGAATAGTGTGAAAATGAAGAACCATAGAAATAAATAGGTATTTTGGGCCAAACCGCTGTATTAGAAGCAGTTACCATGGAAACTAATGATATAGATATCTCCATTCTAGAGTGAGAATTCAAAGTGAATTTCAAATTTAAAGGAACACTATAGTCCCCTAAATTACTTTAGCTAAATAAAGCAGTTTTAGTGTATAGATCATTCCCCTGCAATCTCACTGCTCAATTCACTGTCATTTAGGAGTTAAATCACTTTGTTTCTGTTTATGCAGCCCTAGCCACACCTCCCCTGGCTATGATTGACAGAGCCTGCATGAAAAAAAAAAAACTGGTTTCACTTTCAACCAGATGTAATTTTCCTTAAATAATTGTATCTCAATCTCTAAATTGAACTTTAATCCCATACAGGAGGCTCTTGCAGGGTCTAGCAAGCTATTAACATAGCAGGGGATAAGAAAATCTTAATTAAACAGAACTTGCAATAAAGAAAGCCTAAATAGGGCTCTCTTTACAGGAAGTGTTTATGGAAGGCTGTGCAAGTCACATGCAGGGAGGTGTGACTAGGGTTCATAAACAAAGGGATTTAACTCCTAAATGGCAGAGGATTGAGCAGCGAGGCTGCAGGGGCATGTTCTATACACCAAAACTGCTTCATTAAGCTAAAGTTGTTCAGGTGACTATAGTGTCCCTTTAAAAGGGCCAACAGTAGCCGAACTGGAAACAGCTATTTTTACCTATTGAGATTCACTTTGAATGCTCACTTTAGTGAATAAACTCAGGTTTGCCTAGTTTAGATAAGAGAATATACATAAAATGTCAGACTTTTTGCTGACCAGCCAGCACAAATTAAGCTGGTTTCAGATACAGCATCCAATTAAAATACAAGTTTCATTTTGGGCAGGACATTATCTCCTTCCAGCACCTAAAGCCATCAAGACAGCTCCTGACATGTATTTAAAAAAAAAATTAAAAAAAAATATATAAGTTAAAAAAATTTAAATTAAATATAAAATAAATGACCCCTGCCAAATATCAGCAATGAAGTTTCCAGTACCAATGTGCATGCCACAATTGTGAGCCTCACCGTCACCACTGTGAGCCTTTTTACACCCTCACGCTTGTACATTACCCTAATCGACCATGAAAAAATTATCTGGCTGCCCTGTCCACATAAGTACTGTAACCATCAGCAGGAGCAATGAAACAGAACTTTCAACAATTCACAGCTTAAGCCTGGCACTACAACAAAAAGCAGGATATTTCAGTGTCACCATTAAAGGATCACTCTAGGGTCAGGAACACAAACATGTATTCCTGGCCCTATAGTGTTAAAACCACCATCTAGCTCCCCCCCCTCCCGGGCCCCTCATGCCTCCATAAATATAGCAAAATCTTACTGTATTCATGCCTGAAGCTGTAAATCTGCATGCTGTTTGCCTTAGAAGTGGTGGCCTGATCCAATCACAATGATTCCCCATAGGATTGGCTAAGACTGACAGAGGCAGATCAGGGGCAGAGCCAGCATGATTCAAACACAGCCCTGGCTAATCAGCATCTCCTCATAGAGATGAATTGAATCAATGAATCTCTATGAGGAAAGTTCAGTGTCTGCATGCAGAGGGAGGAGATACTGAATGTTTGGATGCATTTTAGGCAGCCATGACCCAGGAAGGATCTCTAACAGCTATCTGAGGAATGGCCAGTGAAGTTATCACTAGGCTGTAATGTAAACACTGCATTTTCTCTGTAAAGACAGTGTTTACAGCAAAAAGCCTGAAGGGAATGATTCTACTCACCAGAACAAATTCAATCAGCTGTAGTTGTTCTGGTGACTATGGTGTCCCTTTAAGGCGAGGACACCAGCAATCAGGAGGATTTTAGTATAATCATTTTCAGCCTGGTTGAGTCATGGTTTTCTAGTTCACAGCATCTAGAATCCACAAAGATTTGGGGCAACACTGTTGTTCCCCACTCTGTAATAACATGCGGACGTTAAACTGGGGCCATAATAGTGCCACCTACCATTGAATCAGTCTTCCGGGCAATGGAAACACTTCATATCCCATGATGCTTAAAAGTCAGTGTCAGGATGACTAACCCATTCTATCAATAACAGATGCGTTCAAGATTGAGACACGTTATCTCAAGTCCCCCATGACCCATTTTTAGACAGACAAGCGTGAGAGAGAAAAGGTTTTTGAGTACTTAGCGCAGTCGAACCCTGGCCGTCCCGGGAGAGTGAAGCTGCGGATTTCATCCAGGTGAGAGGAGCCATCTTTGTGCTGCAGCTGCCACAGGTGTAACGTGTTATCATCCAGCAGTGAAATCAGGCGACCCTAAAACGATTAAAATGTTAGATCTTGCCTTCATTTGTACTAGACTAAAAAGATTACCACAGTCCAGGTCAGAGCAGATTTCAGAGACTACCATAACTGCGCATCTTAAGAAGCCCTGGTTAGGAGAGCTCAGTCTCGCCTGTTTCTACAAGCTCTGAATGTGCCCAGCCTGACCACCTTTCATTGATTTAGGGTAAATGCTGAGCATCATGGGACTTTAGTCTCACCACGGCTCCCAAGGAGAAATTCCTCCCTTTCCGAAACGAATTTTTTCCCCCCACTTAAAAATCGATCTGAAAGATGATGGTATCACAGACTGGCTACCAAGCTAGCAAACGTAAAAGGTACTAATGAAAGCAGTGGTGGTCCATAAACCATCAGTTATTGGGTCAGATTTTAAGTTTTTTGGTTTTATTCACACATTTTATTTCTAAATTGTGCTTTACATTTTCAGTTCTAGTTTAAATGAATAAATCTCATAACAAGCAGCAGAGGAAACAATACAGGATGGAGGAAAGAAAAAATAAAACTGCACACATAAATCCATAGTTTTTACAATAATAGTGACTACAGAAGCCTACCTGGCCTGGCAGGAAATGCATTTGTGTGACGGTCGCCATGTCGTTGTGAAGCCCTGTGAATTCCACGCCTGGAGCGCCATAGCTGCAGAAATCAGAGATTAAGGAAAGTACTGGAAGACAACGCAAGTGACAGCGGTCTGTTTCGGAGGTTAAAAATAGAGCAGGTTAACAGGAATACTTGGAATTTTGAAGTTTAAATAGGTCGGTGAATTTATCAGATTGTTTGGAGCCAGGACTAGGTCTCCATGCTTTTTTAATGAAGTCTCATTAGTTGGAACAGGCACATTATGTTCGACAGACAGACTGTCACAATAGCAGTAAGGCCTTGAAAGAATGGGTCACTGAGCACATTTGCCTTTAGGACAAGAGATTCAGCACATCCAATGATTACTAAACTGGCTGCTGGTCTACAACAGGTTGATGGTACTGGGAAAGGGCAAAATGCAATGCATTGGGTCTGCTTTCTACACAGCTACAGAGAAGATGACTAAAATCCTGGCAATTAGTTTGAACTAACACACGTATGCTTTACTGATGTAAGAAGACTACCGAACGAGCACGGTCATTCTTTTTCACCCAAACTCTAGTAATTTATATAGAGAACAGCCCCTTTAACTCTAGCCTAGTATACAAGAGGAGGGCACACTGCTCACCACGGATACTGGATATTTAACAGAAGGAATGACGTGGGAGAACAGACATTTATTAGCTGAGCAACTAGGTTGGGCTCACCCAAAAGGTTTCAAGTTGTAGATAGGGAGGAGGGGCAGATTTTCCAAAATTCCAGCAATATACATAAACAAAAATGAATTTGAGAGATCACTCAGAATCCTTAACAGCAACTAATGGACTATTTGCATGGGAGTGGAGGGGGCATATAAAAAAAAAAAAATAAAAAAAAAAATATACACACGTGATATTTTCATAGCAATAAATAGTATGTGGCAAGGGAGGGAACAAGGATATTTGTCTGCTTACATAATTTACTGTTCTTGAGTCAAATTAAGTGAGAGAGGGAAGGAAAAAAATTAATTAGGTGCCAAAATATAGACATCCTATAAGTGTATTTGAAGTTATGAGATGCAAGTTGGCTTTTCGTCCGTCTGATGTGACATGAACGGGCAATTAAAAAAAAAAAAAAACAGACAGCGGTATGGCCTACATTCATGAAATCCACTTGACCAGTTATGTCTATTATTTATAGAGCGCCAGCAAAATTCCATACACATTAACATGTTATAAAAACTCCATAACATTTTACACCAGGATGATTCGGTCCTGGTAGTTTATTACATTTGTACTTCTGGATGGCTAGATCGGTCATTATTCCCCAGTTTTATATTGGTTTATATATTTCTGTATCATTTATGTTCTGCTTTCATTAGAATTGTAAAAACTCCTTAATAAAAATATTTACAAAATACATTCTATAAGGGGGGGGGGGGCCCAAGCTTCCTGGATAACGAGTGACACAATGATTTATTTTTCAGGAAGGGGAATTAGTCTATCAGTTTGTTTCCCCTTGTTCATTCCAGGTCAGATATTAAGATATTACAGGCTCTGGCTGGCAGCCAGACAGCAGTGTAGAACAAACCATAAATCTGCTTTGTGGTCGGGTTAACTGGCCTTATTGCATTTTGATGACAAGTCTTTTGGTTTTAATCTAGTTTCTGCGCACGCAGCGTACCCAGCTCTGCTCTATATCTACAGCAAGATTGTAGATAACTTGGCTCCGCTCAGCCCCTCCGCTACAAGGTTCAAACACAATAACGTATATGTACAGGATTTAGATCATGATCCCACACGCAGCTATGAAGATCTGCACAATGTGCTGGCAACATCAACATGTGGCTGTATGAAATCCAACAAAAAGCAGCTCAGAGCCAAATCCCTGCCAGGAGACAGCCACGTTATCTATAGAAAACCCTTCTCCAGAGAAGACACGTACATAAATATACAACCACACATTGCAGGTGGAATGTTTACAATCCTGAAAAACAGGAGGATGTAGTAAAGGAGGCAGTACCTAAACGTTAACACACCACCTCTGTAGCTTGTTACCATGACTACAGGCCCTTTAAAGTTAACAAGAGACTTTAATCACATGATCTGCTTGAAACCCCCAGCTAAGCTCTCAGATTTCCAAAGCTGCCCTGTCCCCATGGATCTCCTAGAACAGGAGTCACGATCCATTGACTCAACAAACCAATCCACAATGAGACCCTCGCTTTGATATTTACGGGGGCAGACTAAATCAGTCAATATAAAAAGCATGGTCTGTTATGGTTTAGAACGGCTGAAAGATAGAGAGATATAGATAGAGTGTAAGCTTCTTGGGCAAGCATTGGATCTATGCACAAGGAAAAAAAATTTAAAAAAAATTATTAGGACTGCAGAAGTACCCTTTAGTACATCCTGTTTAAGGTCAATGCTTGACCCACTTTCTCACTGGTTCCATGCAGTGCACGATACAATCCGGGATATACTTTAAGGGGAATAGAGTCCAATAGAAGTTAAAGCGAACATTGTTTTGACAGAAGACCATTCTTAAAATCGTACATAAAGCACTACTATACACTTCTTTAAACTCCAAATTAACAACATAACTGCTTAATAAGAGTGGCACCAGCAGGGCCTTTAATGCCAATGCTCTTGTTTTACCAACAAGTCTCTAAGGAGTGTCTATTCAAATGGCAGCCTACAAACATCACCCAGGCTTTACTACACATATCGTGCGGCTGCTTGCCGTAGACACAGGAGCAATCTATTCTGGTGCTCAAACAGTTAACATCGCTTACTAAGCCTAGTGCTTCCTGTGACAGCCATGTCCTTATTGTGGGGTCAGGACTCAGTGGCATTAACAAGTCATCAAATGCAGCAAGTGCTAAATCCCAGAGAGCACTGCGTCACGGTCTCCACCACACCTCGGATCTATACAGATATAGCCACGGGTCACACAGGGTACTGGGCCAGGAAGGGACTCTGCAGAACTGTCGTGAGCTGACACAGGCCATTACTCAGAGCCACTGTCAGACACAGCTGCGGGAACAATCCTCCTTTGTAATGGAGAAAAATGAAGAAAAAAAAAAAAAAAAAAAAAAAGGTTCTCAAAAACCAGGCATGGATGGAGATTGTGACCTGGATAATACCAGCACAAAGACAGCTGTGTAAACGCACCCCATTACCATCACGAGACGAGCAATATATAGAGAAAGCACAGCCTTCATAATGTAACGCAGAGCCAGTGCGCTGTCACTGCATTCGGAAACTCTAGCCGCCAGCCAATGAGGTCAAAACCTCAAGTCACCCCGCATGCAGAGCTCAGCTGAAGGAAGGAGGAAATACGCTGAATGCTCTCCTGTACTGGCTGAGAGTGATAGGAGTGAGGCTGTGACAGCATGTTCACTTAATGCCAAAATTTGTGTAGAAATGGTGTTGCTTTTTCAAAACGTTAAGGTGACAGATAAAAGGCATAAGAATTGAGATAGGTTTGTTGCACGCAGTCAACTACAATGGACTTTGTTTAAGAATACATTTCTGCCATTTCTCCAATATGTACGCCAACTGAGACAAAACGGACAATATCTCCTCCATTCATGAGCAAACAAACAAAAATATATATCCCTTAAGCAAAACCTTTACCTCTGCTCAGTGGTTTAAGATATGTGACTTCATGCATCACTGCACCCTAGCCAGTGGCCTGCAAGATCCTTACCATGTGGTACAGAACTCCACAAATACTCTGCCAAGAGCACCTTCCTATATATTTGGTGGCAATGCCCCTTTATGGTACCATATTGGTGGAAGATTCATACTATATAATAAAAAAATTCTCTGACAACTCCCCACCCTTCCACCTGACCCCTTAACTCCTGCATTACGCAATGACTCCTACCTCACAATATAAGAAATCCATCACCAACGAATCTGAAAACGTGGCCAAACAAGTGGTTCCTCAGTTCTGGAAACAGGACAGATCTCCTCCCCTACACCAAGATGAAGGAGCCAACCCTCTCAACCCAAAGAAGGACACAGGTCTACTCAAGTATATGGACTCTATGGTTTACTACAGCCTTCTCACCGGACTTTTAGCTATTCATTTAAGGGTAACGCTGTGAAGCTAGGCTCATGATTTCTATACTGGGTCAGCAGTCATCTCTGATCTCCCATGGCACCGGGTATCCAGCACCATGGGAGATCATGGCACCTTTTAGTCTCATTTGCCTCTCACAGAGGTCATTTACTCGTTATTGGTACGCTGTTATGTACCTTTACTCTGCATCTTGCATTTGTTAACAGAATGGGCTACCTATAGTTGTGTGAGTTATGCCTCTAACTCCCAGTGATAAAGCAAGGACTGGCTGACCGGTGACAGCCAGGAGTTGCAGAGCAGCCAACATTCAGTTTCCCGAATTTAGCCTCATAAAAAGTAGCTGGATCCACAAGACAGGGCACTACCGCCTGGCTAGCTGGGAGTTCATTCTAGCTCCTTGCAACTCCCCTCACATGCATTTCCATGGAAACAGATTCTTACCAAGTACTCAGTGGGACAGAAGAGAGAGGGGGGCATGATCCAGCTCTCGTGTTTGAACAGAGAGTGGCTATTCAGGGGGAATGTTGCCTGGAGACTGCCAATTCCCCCTGACCCCCTTTTCAGATTCACCACCCTTAACACAATCAGTGGCATACAAGAAACAAAAAAAAAACAAAAAAAACCCAACACACACACTTAATTCAAGACAGAATTGCTAAATTTTAGTCCAAAATGGCAGATTTTGGCAAATTCTTTAACTCTGCTGTAGTCACAGGTTATCAACTTTAGCCTACATTTTTATTTTCCAATTCTCTACAGTTCAGCATCTGGTGTATAACCCATTTATATACATCACAACGCCAAGGAACAACGGGAATACAGTCTGATTGTGATTGAGTAAAACGTGCCTATCTGCAATAACTTTATCCACTTCTTACCAGGATCCAGTGCAGGGCACAGTGAGAGGCCAACATAGATCACCAGGTGTTGTAGAACATACAATTCCCTCATGACAGAGCATCATGGGATTTGTAGTTCAACAGTTGCTGGCCAGGCATGTGACATTCCTGCACTGGGTCTTACTGTGTAAGAAGGAAGTAAAATAACCTCTAGCTGATGGCTTGGTAGAAGTTCAGCTGCACAGTACAATGTTAACCCATCCTTCTGTGCTGGATTACAAACTAAGGACTCTGGAGTAAAGAGGAAAGTCTTCAAGAAAATCCATGTAAAAGCATGAATGGGTTAATATGTTCAATTGGTGGGATTGCCTTTCCCTCGAGTATTAAGTTGTTCTTGGGAAAAAGATTTTAAGGAGCGGCTATTGTTCAGGTCCCTCCCCACCACTAATTACCCATGAAACCGGAGAAAGATCACAGGATTTGGCAAATTACTTTACAAATATACCTGGGAGAAGGCGGGGGAATATTACAAGGAATCGCTAGAAGACCACATTAGAGACTAACACTGGCCACACATGCACGAGTCCGTGACAGCTTGTGGAATTTGAGGTCAATGAGCGAAACAATGTCACTTTCTTTGTACAAAATAGGTTTACTTAAAATAAAAACGTGTACACATCTGGTAGTCCTGACACCACATAAGTCAGTTTAATGCCCCTCCACCCCGATGCGTGAGCGTTAGTGTCTCAATTTGGAAGGAACGTCTGAATTTTGTGTATGGTATGGAGTGAGGAACAGTAAAAAAAAAAAAATAAATAAAAAAAATTTAAAAACATTAAAGCTACATTTTTTCCTGGCAAAGATTGTGGATTTGGGTATGGCATACTTCAGACAAGTGCATCATCTGCTGCAAGTGTGATCGGGGAGAGCCACCAATCTGTATGAAAGAGCTCACTGCACCACTTTAACCCATTAAGGACCAAACGTCTGGAATAAAAGGGAATCATGACATGTCACATGTCATGTGTCCTTAAGAGGTTAATGTCTCACACTTCGCTCTGTTCTAGAGACACAACTGAAAGGAGAACAAAAACTGGAATGTTCAGAACCTGAGTAAAAGAATTGGTTTTAAAAAGCAAGCAGCAGTGCTATATGTCCTGTCACACCGTTGCTTCTTTCTTACAATGTGGAACGGACAGTTGCAGGCTAAGGGTGGAACGAGTTTTAGTCCAACAGCTGCAAAATTAAGGCAGCCAAATGCGAAGGATACATTTTAACAGCTCCAGACTTTGCACCAATGGCCATGATCCGAAGTAAAGGGTCGAAGGCAAGAGAGCTTGGCTGGTTGGGAAATCCATGTTCGACTGTCTGATTGGGAGAAAGAGAAAAAAAAAAAAAAAAAGTGAGTAGGAGTGCAGTAACAGGACACATTGAGAAGATTTCAGTTTCCTCAGCATTCACAGAGTATCCCACAATCCCTTTCTAAGAACTCACTCCTATACACTTCAAACCAAGTAATCAGCAGGTTATTTTAAGAAATTGAGTGGGAGTGTGGGGGTGAAGAGGAGGGAGTATGGCTTCACCACCTTTCTTCCTGCATTTAAAAAGAGAATTGCAGTTGTACAACAGACAAAAACACCACCACACGTTGAGAAAAAGCAGGCACATAAATCCACAAAACAGAAAAACTTGCCATCCTAATTAGTCAGAGACATGAGATTTTACATTTGGAGATAAAATGGGAGGAGGACTTTATGGATTTTTTTCGAAGGATGGGACACCTGTACTTTATAAAAACAAGTATTCCGTTTCTGAATAATCAGTGGCACGGAAAGGGAAGGGGGTGGTGAATCATGTTCCCTATGGATCCTGTCATGGCCTTATTCATTTGAAGAGCTTGGTAATAGACTAGGTCTAAGATGCTACATTATCCCACATTTATAGCAACCAATAAGAAAATATATATATACACACACACACACACACTACGCCTTAAAGTGGTTATAGTGTGGGAAGTCCCCTAGTGCCCTCCCTTCACTGTGTGGCATTTGCCCAAGCAGCAATTAATGTCTGGGAGTCAGCGGTCGACCTATCCCAGCGTCCATTACTGGTATGAATTGGAATGACTAGAAGCAAGTGTGTAACCTCCGTCTTACCCATATTTCCATTGAGGGCTGAGCTGTAGGTGATCAGAGACCCTCATTCAGGGTTAAACTGCTCAGAAATGGTTTAGCACTCAATGGAGAGACAGTGCCAGGATACTCCAGTCACTATAACCACTTCAAAGAGATTAAAATGGTTATAATGAGCAATGTGTCTCTCTAAAGGTTGCGTTTTAATAATATACTCAGAATCACTATGTTCCTGGAGGATTGGCAGCCTTACGCAACATCCCTCCCAATTGTCAACCTCAAAACTATTGATCACCTAGCATTTTTCTTCAATTCTGCAGGTATGATAATTTTGGAAACACAAGTCCACGTGATTAGATTTATATTCTACCGAGTGCTTCCCATCCTTCATCAGATACAACAGCCCCTGCAATTTTGGCATTTAAAGGGACACTATAGTCACCTGAACAACTTTAGCTTAATGAAGCAGTTTTGGTGTATAGAACATGCCCCTGCAGCCTCACTGCTCAATCCTCTGCCATTTAGGAGTTAAATCCCTTTGTTTATGAACCCTAGTCACACCTCCCTGCATGTGACTTGCACAGCCTTCCATAAACACTTCCTGTAAAGAGAGCCCTATTTAGGCTTTCTTTATTGCAAGTTCTGTTTAATTAAGATTTTCTTATCCCCTGCTATGTTAATAGCTTGCTAGACCCTGCAAGAGCCTCCTGTATGGGATTAAAGTTCAATTTAGAGATTGAGATGCAATTGTTTAAGGTAAATTACATCTGTTTGAAAGTGAAACCAGTTATATTTTCATGCAGGCGCTGTCAATCATAGCCAGGGGAAGTATGGCTAGGGCTGCATAAACAGAAACAAAGTGATTTAACTCCTAAATGACAGTTAATTGAGCAGTGAAATGGCAGGGGAATGATCTATACACTAAAACAGCTTTATTTAGCTAAAGTAATTTAGGGGACTATAGTGTTCCTTTAATGGCCACTTGCAGAACAGCAGGTCTTTTACCAAGTAATTGTCATGTTCTCCGTTACGGACTGTGGTTTCTGTAGCAATCAGGGTACTTTTATTTTAGTAGTATGTTCATTTATGCACATTGTGTTCCCTTTGTCCTAATCGTTTTTTATACGGCGCTTTACATCAGGGTTTGACAAATTTACCTAAAATGTAGTAGCCAGACAGTATTTTAATAAAATGAGGGGAACACACACCCCTCAAATTAGACATATAAATCGCACACAACTAGTTTGCCAGTGTTTGGGGAATAACTACAGATATGGTTTGTTTTAATTACGTATTAACAGTCATCTTGAGATTAGCAAAGAGAAAAAAAAAAAAAAATAAGATCTGCAGATAACTGCTCTGCACATCTGCAGAGTGTGTGTTTCTTAAACAACAGAAACTCATTGAAATAGCATTTTAGGGGTGTTTACTGAAAAAGAGCAGGAGCACAGGGCATTAGGGATTACCTCCTCCCAAAAATAAGTTTAGATCCATTAGCTCAATAAGACATGTGGGTCCCGCCTAACCCCTGCCAGGGGAGTTTTTAAAAATGCATGCAAAAGGGGAGAAGTAAAATATTTTAAGGTGTAGTTTGAGTGATGCTCTCCCCGGCACTTGATGAGATCACATTGCAGCTGCATCCGGACTGAATCAATTATCTCTCCAAGAATCTGATTCTAATTACTGCAAACGCCAACCCCTCCGCTACTCCCAGCATGCACTGCAAACTACAACAGCATGAGGAAAAGCTCATAAATATGAACACATTTCTAGGATACAGTGCAAAGGAGCTCCAGTGATTGCAAGCCTTGGTACTGCAGATGCTTGTGCACCACATTTGCCTTGAGGCTTCGCTTGACTGGCTGAGTGTCATCAGAATAGTAGTCCATAAAAGATGCTGTTACAAGGCTTGCCTTCAACCTTGAGGACAAGTTTTCCCGTCTCAAATTGTAATTTCAATGGGTGCACTTATGGGACTCTCAAAATATTTAGATCACCGAGTTTTGGTGCAGCTGTTGCACAGTTATGTTTTCGTGGTAGTTTTTTGGTTTTTTTCTCATTGACACACTTAAAGTGGAAATGTCACTTCCAGGTTTTATAAGATTATGTTTACCTATCCTTAGATTTGACAAAATATCTATTCCTTAACTGTGAAATACATTAACAGGTATTTCATGCATCTAGAGGCCTCCATCTAAGCTCACTGCCCTAGGTCAACAATGACTGCCAGGGAGCTCAGAGAGCATTCAGCGAGGAGGAGAAATATTTCTCATCATTTGTTATGTTTGCCCATAACAACAAAAAAAAATGGAGCATCTCATGAAAAGAAGTTTCAAACAAATTATAGGTGATTTCCAATCACTTTTTTTGGTGTAATTTTCAGGAAAGAGACAGTTTCTCTAATTTCTCTTACTCTCCCACAAAAATTAGCTGGGAATGGGCAAGCAGGCGACTTTTAGAGAAACTATACTGCCATTTATAAAATAATTCTAAAAAAAAATAAAAAAATAAATAAAAAAAAAATACAAATAAAAACCACCCCACACATTACGATTACACACTTCTGTGTTTTGGCCACAAGATGAATTTAAAAAGAGACTAACAAAATGTTATCACACAATTTAATTCAATCACGAAGCTTTGGACCAGGGGCCATGAATAAGCCAACATCATCAGTTTATGTTCTGAGTTTCTGAATTGGCTAGGTATAGGCTCTCAGCATGGGATTGATTAGCTAATGCTCGTACCAACAGATTATATAGATGGGCAGATTGATCAAGTACCATCTTCCCGGTGCCGAATTAAATGCACAGAAAACGTATTTTTACTTATTATAAGGGGGGGGGTAACCCAATAGTAGTGCTCTATAGGGCATAGTAAAGTTAAGACACATTTTCTTAAGGGTGGAGTAATTCTTTAAGTACACCTCTAGTGGCAGTCAGTACAACCGCAACTAGAGGTGCTTCCGCTCACTTAAAACTTGGTCACGTGACCCTGAGGTATCCATAGGAATTCATGGATTTAATGCTTTTCTATAGGTTTGTTTAAATGCGCATGCAACGCTTATGTGAACTAGGTCCTCAATGCTATAAGGAGCATTGGATTGAACCACATGCTACAGAGGAGAGAGGGATTTAAAAAAAAAACCCACGCTTACCTATTTTAATGCACTGCAAAAGGTGTTTGTATTCCTAATGTTATAGTGATCCTTTAATTTAAAAAGGACAGGCTAAGCACTATAACCACTACATGTAAAGGTTCTAGAAGGCTATAGACAGTATATCCAGCTTTTCTTAACCAACTTTCAGGAAGATCCCTCCACATCTCCAGTCCAACCCATCAGTTTGGAAGACCAAGAGTAAATCTCACCTTCCTCATAACAATCTAAATATATTTTTACAAGTAAGCAAGCTTTAACTCTTGGCAGCACTAAAGCAGATAAAGGCACTTTTATGGAAGGGAGTCGTATTTGTAAACATGATAGAGTCAACTCTGAATCAAAGCAAAAGACAGAAGTGTAAGATTTGCAGCACTGTCAGGTCCGCTGAGCCTTAAATAAGGGCAAGCCAAGTTACATTACTACCAGAGTACACTGTAGTGGTTATGGTGTCAGCAATCCTCTGACTCCATCCATTTGATTGGTTGGGGCAGTAACACATCCGCATTAGGAATATCAGTTATCTACAAGCTTGAATGGAGTACATTGGCTTAGAGCGTCAGCTGGCTTGATCATCCAGTGAATGCTGTCCTAATTAGGACAAACAAATGTTATGATACAAATACTTCCAGCCAGCAGGTGTCAAAAAAATAAAATAAAACACAAGTTTCCACTTTGTGCTTATACAAATAGATTGTGCTAGGAGATGGCAAACAAAACTTTCCAGTATGTATTTTGTACACATTTAAATCTGATTTTCCTTATTATCAAGATCAAAAGTTTGATGTTTGGCAGATCTTACCATGGACGATCAACTCTACATTTTCCAGTTCAAAACCTTAAACACAGGTTCTCTTATTGAGCCATTCCAGCCTAAAACATTCAATTCACTTTACCAAAAACAATGCTCACTTTATGGAATAGCCCAGTTTGTAGCAGAAGGTTTGTTTGCTGAATTTAAATGTACACACATTCAATACGAGTCCCTGAATTAAGCTGTGAATTGCACTTGGCAAAGATCAAATATGAAAATTCTGGAGAAAGTCTGTAGATTTCCATCAAAATGTTACTAATCTGATCTTAGTGAACAAACCCATTAAACCTCGGGAAAGACATCAGGGGAAACAGTTTAGATATAGAGCACACTGTGTCAGGGATGGGCAATGAAACAAGTGATGTAGCCAGAAGCATCAGACAAGTGCACTGGCAAACATTTCCTGTAGACTGCACTTGGTATTTAAAACGCTTTCTTTTCAGCTTGATCAGAGGAAGTTAAACCCAAAAATAAAAAAATTCTATTTAAAATGAAACTGTAAATAAAAAAGAAAATAAGAGTTTGAACTCAAGTGATAATAGGAAAGATTTAACAACCCACCACAACCATTGGAAGAGCGCTAAATGGCAGGTGATATTAGGAAGGTGTTCAGAGCTGATGCACAAGTTGTTGGTTTTAAAAAAAATAATCAAAGCTTTTCAAACGGCTTTATGTGCAGCAATTTCTCTGAAAAAAAAAAACCACAGACAAACACGGAAAGAGGGGGAAGGGATGGAGAAATATTTAGGGAGAACTATTGTTCCCACAAAAGGATCTAATCCAGCACAGCATAAAATGGGGCTTTTGTCCTCACAAAAGAAAACACTGAGCACTCACACAATACCCTGAAGAGGGGTGGGGGAGGAGGGATCCTCTCACTCCGGAGCAGTCACACAGAGTGGATAATCATGGAGATGGAGGCAGACTGGTACCCAAGTAGAAGAGAGCCACTCTGCAGCCTATCTTTGGGCACTCCAGATGGTCTGGACTGAGTTTCCCAGGATGCTCTGCATCACAGGAAACCAAGATTAAGGGGTTAGCCATCCTAATTGGAGAGAAGGTTAAGTTACGTGGGTTGCAAAAGTTAGAAAACTAAGTCTCCTGCATGTGACGTAATGGCCAAAAAACTGTGACATCACAGCTATCCACCGGCATGGAAATTACCATGGAGACCTGTGGAATCCTTTCTCAACCCCCATACAGATGTCCAAAAAGACTGAGTGCTAAGATGGAACACATGCTGAGCGGATGAAAAGGAAGCGCAGATTATAGGGAGCCTTACCACCATGAAAAGGAGAGGCAGATAGCTACAGGTTCTTCAGATCTTCAGGAAATTAACACTTTCTGTACCAGGGAGAGAGTGTGGCCCAAAAAAAGGCATGCCAAAAAACTCCACCCTCAACAATTACACACAAATAATAAATCCTACACACCATCCTAAGCTCGTAATTCGGAATGATGCATCTCAGCTCATAAAAGAAACTGGATAACAATGAACATCGAGGAAAACTCTCAGGAAGTACAGAAAACATTTTGTCAGTAATAATATTAAATAAAAAGCACCTGAGCGTGAGCCAAACACACGTATTTAGTTACAGCCGATTTATTTCTAAAACTGTGACTTCCTGTGCTTTATTTAAAGAGCTCTGTGTACAGGCCAGCAGGTCACATAGCTCCGCCATCTGCCAAGGTCTCATTCCATACAGGAGTGCTTGCTCTGACTCAGGGAAGTGGAACTCTTCCTTAAGATGCAAGTGTGGGAGGTATCCAGAGGCCAGGATCAGCTGCAGGAGGGCCAAGGGAAGGAAGGAAATACAGACACAAAACTGATGGCTTTTAAGAAGCATAAAAACAATTCAAAATGCGGATAACATAACTGGAAGTTCAAGTCCAGAGGGGAAAAGGGAAGTTTTACATTCAGATTAAACAAAATAAAATGTCAGATTCTGCGGCTTTAATGTACCAGTGAATGCAATCTAGCATCATAGAGGTTAAACTGCAGAAACAGGGAGAGGCTTTTTCCCCTTCCTTGTATTTCAATATGACATGATTTGCAGTTTGAGAGACCTGAATATGTTAATGCCTTGCAGCTGCATTGTGTGGGGGTATTACATGAACCCCCACCCTCCCCTTTCACAGGGACAATTTTCTGCTCTGGCTTCCCAGTGCCCGGACAACACGCTTGTGCCATCTTTACCAGATTTTAACATTTTTGAAAGCCAAAGGTGTGCCCATCACATTGCTTAAACAGTATAGTGGGCATTGTTTCAGTACTTTGGAATTAAACAGACATACTAATCTGCATCTGTTCCCACTAGAAGGGCCCCATATGGGCGACCAGCTAATCTCTGCACCCCCTGCATTAACACAGAGTTAACTATCAAGATGCTTTACAAATGAATAAGAAGGATGTTCTGGCCATGGTAAAGCACAGAACAGGACTTTTAACAAAGTGATTGATGGCCATATTCATTGCAGATGCTTGTGTATGTCGCCATAGAGAGGTCTGCGATACACCATGGTACCATTCCTAAGAGTCAGAGAAGACTGACGAGCACCAGGCAACTCATTCTTCCTGGCAGGGCAAGAGTTTTGAAACACGGCTGGAGATGCCCTTTTGCACAAATCAGAGCAAAACATTAGGATTTATGGCAAATATACCAGCAGTGCCAAACACTTGTATGGACAACAAAATACAGATCACATAACTAAGCTTCGCACAGAAGGGAGAGGAAACTAAATTTCTTCCCAAAAAATAAATAAATAAATAAATTTAAAAAAAAAAAAAAGGAGCTTATGCCAATCTTTGTATGACTATGGAGATGTCACAGTAGACAGTTTAAGAAAGAAAGTTCCTGGGAAGGACTCTAAGGCACCAAACACCTTTATTGCAAAGCAATATGCCTGCTCCATCATTAGATATTTAGAGGGGACACCAATGGATCAGACATCATGGACACAGGGGGAACAAATTAAATACACAAACACAAAACCCAGAATATTTCCACCATCATTACTGGGTCCGATTACACCCAAACCTAGTATTGCTTTATACCGAGAGTGTCTTAGTAGTACACATACTTTGTATCGGAGTTGGACTATACTCAGTTTCCAACGCTGTGGAATCATTCACACCTACTACAACCTGAAACCTTACCTCATACCACATCAACGCAGGCACAACACCACATCCCAGCAACCAATATTCACCTGACAATGGGGTCCGACTATATCCCAGAAACATCTAGTCTCCTATAAAGGTGATGTCACTATCCCCCCTACCCCAACATTCCCTGGTGTCATTGACTGGGGGAAGAGTTTTTACTACGGCCCAACAAGAGAGAGTCTCAAACTCCTAAATTATTCATCTCTTGGGTCTATAAACACATCCGCACTCAATCATGTTGTTTGTTTTATCAGGTGGCTTTGTTAAATCCAAACAAAGCGCTCTCTTTATCTTATGGTTTCCTGTATCAGTGGAGACTATACCGCAGCATCCCCATGGTGTGTGTCAAGGAGTCAAACTACACCCCAACAATCCCATGGTCTTTTGTAACTGGGGGTCTCAGCTATCTGCTCCCTACTGTAGTTGGACTCACATAGCCCTAGGGTCAATAGGTATGGGTCTCTATACTTTGTGTGAAAAAAAAAAATAATAAATGGTAGAAGGCACTCCAATTGTTAGTCTCTATTTTTCCAAGATATTACTACTCCCCCACATTTGGGGTACCCATGTAAACCTACAGTCAGTAGATAGGTGGTCTCAATGCCAAGACATTCCTCTACTAGCCACATGTGTGTGGACCAGGTATCCCTATGGTAAGTAGGTGGGGGATTCTATCCCTGGACATTCTGCTTATCCCCACTTTTGGGGATGGGTGGGGGTCTCTATCCCAGGATATCACTCTGCTCCCTCCATTTGGGGTCCTGTGTATTCCTATGGTCAGTAGGTGGGGGTCTCCATCCCAGGACATCCCTCTGCTCCCTCCATTTGGGGTCCAGTGTATTCCTATGGTCAGTAGGTGGGGGGGTCTCTATCCCAGGACATCCCTCTGCCCCCTCTATTTGGGTTCCTATGTATTCCTATGGTCAGTAGGTGGGGGTCTATCCCAGGACATCCCTCTGCCCCCTCTATTTGGGTTCCTGTGTATTCCTATGGTCAGTAGGTGAGGGGTCTATCCCAGGACATCCCTCTGTTCCCTCCATTTGGGGTCCCATGTATTCCTATGGTCAGTAGGTGGGGGTCTCTATCCCAGGACATCCCTCTGTTCCCTCCATTTGGTGTCCCATGTATTCCTATGGTCAGTAGGTGGGGGTCTATCCCAGGACATCCCTCTGCTCCCTCCATTTGGGGTCCCATGTATTCCTATGGTCAGTAGGTGGGGGTCTATCCCAGGACATCCCTCTGCTCCCTCCATTTGGGTACTAGTGTTAATAGTTTGGGGTCCCAGATTATATTGGGTGGGGGTTCCCCAGGCCTCCCATGGAGAGATAGGTGTTTAATAAATACAGGGTCTCCCTGGCTCCCCCTCACTCTAAAGAAGCCAGGGTGAGAGTAAAGCCAGCCCCAGCCCACAATAAAGGGCCCCATGCCTTGCCCCCCTCTATAGGGCACTCATCACCCTCAGCCAGCCATGTCCCCTCCCTCCTTACCTTGTTAAAGGCGAACAGATCCTGCTTGATCTTCTCTCTCTGGGGGTCGTGCCCCTGCCGCCTGAACCGAAACTTCATCATCCTGTCTGAGGTCCCGGAGCCGGAGCAGCCGCCACTCACCGCAGCACAGGCGGCCGGGAACTTGATCCCGCCCGGGGTTTGACTGACACCAGCTTCAGCCAATCAGGGCTGTCCGTGCCCGCGGATCATCTGGCAGTCCCAGCCCGGCCTCACGGCTTCAACTCCCACTTGTGCGCCTGCGTGACCGAGCGCAAAGGCTCAAGGGAAGTGTAGTTTTCTGTCATTGTTTCCCAACTATTGTGGTTAATGTTAATCAATAACATTCATTTATAAAAAGGTTCTTTTATAAAAGTGCCAGTTTCTATTAAAATCTAAACTTTTTGTAAAATGAAAAAAAGAAGACACACTGCTCACAAGCTAAACTGCTTTAGGAGTTGAATATATTGAATATACTCCAATAATTCGCATTTAGTGAATAATCCTGTTTATGGAAACATTTCAGACAATTGTTTATTTAGACTGAGACCCTTTGTAAATATGCCGGGCCATTTTAAGATTTATTGGTTTTATACGAAATACAGAATACTTTTACATTAGCTACCACCCCTAGTCCCTTTCTTCCAACGTGGGGGGGAAGGCGGGGGGTTAGTAGAAAACTTACAGCTATACATTTCCCATAACCTCCTGCTGTGTGGGTTTTATGGGAAACATACATCGTTAACACAGGCTTTCTATGGTAGCAGCAAATCGATCGCCTTGTTATTCCTTGATATTATTTTACTCATTAGCTCTGTGATACATTAAAAGGGTGACGAATCGTCCCCAGGAAAGCTGTTTAGTTTAGTTTTTTCCTTTAAGTTTCACACGTAAGACTGAGGTCATTTCCTGCTTGTTTATTTAGATATGCTTTCATATCAAGGATCATTGGACCAAAGTTCATCTTGGGAGCAGTTCTAGCTCTCCAGTCTATATTTCAGCATTTACATTGAAACATGTTTTGACGACAGATAAGAACCAATTGACAAATCCTATCTGCCCATTGTGAAATCTAATCGAAGATCTCCCTTATCTCATCTTCTGTAGTGTGTACGGGTCCCAAGCATTGTTCGATTACTTTTACTTTCACTGCATAACTATTCTACTTTCTATAACCACTAGAAAAGGATCCCGCAGGGTCCTAGGCAGGGGCACCAGTTTGGGACCCCATTCTTTCTTCACCTAGGGATGGTTAATTGGGCCAAGCAAATTCATGTTGCCGGAGTCTCTATCTAACCCCTGGGCCTTGGGTACACCTTGTGATTAATCCTGCTCTGACAACCACATCAGTCTTTACTGCGTTCATTGGGCTATTTTGGGTAGCTGTCTCTTCGGGCTGTAGAACCTATAGGGCTGCATGGCTGCTTGTTTCACATTGGAGTTTTGGATATACATTATAATATCTATAGTATCCACCGATTGAATTAATCTCCTATAAGGCTCGACTTTTAAATTCAGGAAACTGAGAAATATTTTAAAAGCAAATTCTACATTCCTGCTAAATAAATGATATTGTTTTCTTCCAGTAGCCTCATCCTCAAAGTGATTCAGGAAGGAGATTACCTTATAAATAATTCACGTAGACTAATACTTTTTAATAATCAATGACATCCATGTAGGGATGCTTATCTTTCAGTAGGACAGATAAGCAATGCATTCGCAATCTTGAAAGGGTTAAAGGCACTTTAAATCCTGTGTGTTGATCAGATGTGTTTATGTGTTTTTTTTCTCGTTCCCCTGATTCTAATCCCCTCCCAAACTGCTGGATATTTGCAGGATTAGTATACGATACTATGTCCAGACAATTTTGGAATGAACCCAGTTTATGATGCATTTTTTAAAAACCCTTATCATGCAATAAGAGGCTTTTCAGAAGATCCCTTACTGTGCAAATTACATAAATGATAACAAAGACTGGATTGATAAAAAAAAGAATTCTCATACTTAATCTGCATAGCTCTTCCCAAATAACTCACCTTGTCTGCTTGTCACACACTATTAAGAACATTCACACCCTGCAATGTCATAGTTTTGATGTTTTTGTATAAATAATGTCCTATTACACAACAGGTATCTGTTTTGTACCAATAAAACGAATCACAGCTTTCAGGAATACAAAAGTTGGCACTTATGTAATAATGCTTAAAGGGACACTATAGTCACCCAGACCACTTCAGCTCAATGAAGTTGTCTGGGTGCCAGGTCCCCCAGGTCTTAACCCTTCAGATATAAACATTATTCGCATCCAGCGTGCAGAACGTCCATAGGAAAGCATTGAGAAATGCTTTCCTATGGACTGTTTGAATGCGTGATCGGCACTTGCAGCGCACGCGCATTCCGCTCCACTCGGGAGCTGACATCGGTGGGGGAGGCATATTACAAATCTTTAAAAAAAACTGTAATAAAATTGTAGACTGGAATTTATTGAAAACTTAATTGAAAAAGTGCGCTATAATAGCCGAGCGATGGCGGTTCCGCTATTTGTCCAGCTATTTGGTCTACAGTTTTGACCTGCTTAGTCAAGTGACCCAGAGATGTTAGAACAAATGCTGACATGACATGAAGAATGTCTGTCATGATGTTTGCTAAATTAAAAAAATTGCTGAATATTGCTTTCATCACAAACAATACATTCTTAAAGGACCACTATAGTGCCAGGAAAACATACTCGTTTTCCTGGCACTATAGTGCCCCGAGGAGGGTGCCCCCACCCTCAGGGACCCCCTCCCGCCCGGCTCTGGAGAGAGGAAAGGGTTAAAACTTACCTTTTTTCCAGCGCCGGGCGGGGAGCTCTCCGCCTTCGATCCTCCTCCTCTCCTCCCATTCGGCTGAATGCGCACGTGCGTAAAGAGCTGCGCGCGCATTCAGCCGGTCTCAAAGGAAAGCATTTACAATGCTTTCCTATGGACGCTTGCGTGTTCTCACTGTGATTTTCACAGTGAGAATCACAGAAGCGCCTCTAGCGGCTGTCAATGAGACAGCCACTAGAGGATTTGAGGGCTGGATTAACCCATTTATAAACATAGCAGTTTCTCTGAAACTGCTATGTTTATAAAAAAATGGGTTAACCCTAGCTGGACCTGGCACCCAGACCACTTCATTAAGCTGAAGTGGTCTAGGTGCCTAGAGTGGTCCTTTAAGTTTACCTTTGTCATTTGTATTCTACATAAGAATATTAGCTAAGCATCACAGAAAACCTGTTGAAAATCTGTACTATCGGTAAGAAAAGAAAACTCTTAGTGGCAGATCTAATGTATAGAGGGCCCTGGTGCAGGAAATTATTTTGGGTACCCCCTATCGCAAGGTTGGCCAGATGGTAGATGCCCATTAGTCGTACAACTCCCACAATGCTGTGCCAGATGGGGATCTACCATTTGCCCATCCTTGCAGGGTTGTGTTTGTGAGCAGTGTTTGTGTATTTGAATGTAAGCATGTTTTTGTGTGTGCGTGTGTGAGTGTGTAAGAGCCATTGAGTGTGTATGTGGGTGCATGAGCCAGTGTGTTTGTATGTGCCTATTTATGTGCCTGTGAGTGTATGTTGGTGTGTCATTGAGAGTGAGTATGGGTCAGTGACTGATAGTGTGTGGCAGAGAGTGTTTCTATTCCTATATATCAAAGGGGTGAAAGGGACAAAAAATGGGCAAAACAGATAAGAAACATTAAAGGGGGTGGGGGGGGGGAGACATTCAGAAGGGGGATAAAAGACACCAGGGAGTTAAGAGGCCACAAAAGGTGGAATAAAGACTCAAAAGCATGAAAAGAATGTCAAACAGGGGATATATTATGCACAAAGGGAAGAGAGAAACAAAAAGGCAGATAGATGCACAAAAAGGGGGGAAAGCACGTGTAAGCGGGGCAAAAGTGGATGAGGTTAATAGACACACAGGTGAAGACAAATTTGGGGGGAAGGGGGAGGTGGCAGCGTGCCCATGTAGACAAATATCCTTGCACCTGCTCATTTTTACATTTTTAGCAATCCTCCTGTTACCAAACCTTTTGTGTGCAAGAGGTTGGCCTGCCTGGGGTCCTGAGGCTGTCAGGAGTGTGGGCCACCTCTCTGCCTCTCATGTGGCTTCCTCAGTAGCTGGGATGAAGTGCCCTGCTGTCACTTACTCCCAGCATGGACAATGTTAAAGGGCAGCAGCGCCTTACCAGGCCTCTGTTTAGCAATACCTCTTGAACACCTTCAGCGTACAGGCCACCCAATGGGTCCCCACAGCGCCGGCTGCATCGATGGTAGTTCCGCCGCTGTCTTTGATTATAAGTTATGTAAACAGATTTGTCAAATGTTAGAGACAAATAACTTCTTCATGGTGGTCAGAGCATGAAAAGTGCTTCCCTGTAGTTTGCAGCATTCATTTGCTACAGGAGTGAAGTCAATCAATGCTGCTTACTTGGAATTGCTCATTGATTCCTTGCTGCAGCATATAAATAATACATACCACAGGCCAGCACTTTTCATGCAGTACCTATCAGCCTGTAGAAGTGATATGCGTGCAGGAAAAACATGGTCAATTTGGTAGTCCTATGTGAACGTGATTCATCAATCCCACATCCTTGACTCACTGACATCTGTTTCAAACGTCTGCAGAATCAAACCTATACTATCATTTAGCATGTGTTTGGTAGAAAGAATACACATGCACATCCTGTGATTAGTTAGCAGGTACGACTGACGTGTAATGCAACCAATGCAATTTTTTTTTAACTCTTGGCAATGTCTCCTTAATATACTTTAAAACTGATGAAAATCACCAAAACAGAATTGACTGATGTGGTTTGGTTTTACAACGACTCACTTCAAAACATTTATTTTAAAGAGCTAATATTTAAATCCTAAAACATTTACATATATATAGTAAGAAATCTTGAGAATCAATATGATAGAATGTACTTAGAATTCTTAGAACACTTCCACATGGGGTTAGTAACTGAGGCTTGTTTATGTGCTTGGCACGATCATTATTGACAAGCCAGTAAGCACTAATCTGACTGTCGGTAAACGTATGGATTCCCCGCTGTTCCCATGCTAAAGAATGTAATTGTTGCTGATTGATAGTTAGCGTCTCCTGTACGATTTAACATGTCCCTGAGAGATTAATAGGAGACTGTAAATA